AGCATGCCTGTTTTGATCGGTCAATAATTAGCGGGTCAAATTGACCCTGACTTTTGTGTGAAAAATTACAAATTTTTTATTCTGGGGCGTATATACTTGCTCCTGAAGGACATATACTCGAGATGTTGATAGTATGTCCAAGATGAGTTGTTGACCTTCAAAAAAACTTTAATTTTGTCAGATTTTCTACTCGCTCTAGAGGCAATTATTATATACAGAACATCACATATTTTACAAGGTGAATTGGATCTTACCAAATATTTAGAGCGGCTGTTTAGATGATGATCGGTCAATTTTCCGAGGGTCAAATCAACCAAAACCTAAAGTGACCAATTTTTTATTGTATGACGTAAAAATTCACTTCAAGAAAAAACATTTTGGAAAATATGCAAGACTTAGAAATAGGAGATGTTGATCTATAATCAGTAAAAAGGGTGCAAATATCACGAAATATTGCCCAGGCTCAGAATATAGAACCGCCGAAAGTGTGCTTTTCGTGGTAGTTGTGTAGGGTATCATATGGTCGGCCCCGTCCGACTATACTGCTCCGCTCACTGGTTTTTTATATAGCTCTAATTAAAAATTTAATATCTATTGAGAAATGTCGTAAGTCATAATAATAAAATAGAATATGAATTGTTAACAATTTATTTCCTGGAAGTCATATAATAATTCAATGAGATATATTTCCTTGAAAATATGTTTAGTGAATAGATCAAGACCAAAGTTGTCAATTTTTTCAATATTTGGTATAACTCAAATTAAAAATTTATTATTTATTGAGAAATGTCAGAAGTCATGATAATTAAATGGAATACGAAATGATAACAATTTATTTTCTGAAAGCCATATAATAATTCATAGAATTATGAATTTTTAAAATATATTTTCTTTAAAATATTTATAGTGAATATACCACGGGCAACATGCCTTTCTATAAAGACTTTTGAATATAAAAAATACTCTCATTCATTAAGCATAATAAAAATATCTTATATTGTCATTCCAGTGAAAATATTTAATTTACACAATATCAACAGTTGTACACATTTGCAGGCCCTTCAATATTTAAGTTATAAAACAATCCTCGTATTAAACGCAATTTCACTTAACTGAAGCTAAATAGGAAAAAATCAAATTTTCATTCATCAGAAGCATCATCTGATGAGTTCCCATAAAATTTAAATTTTTAAAATTTGAGTGTAATAAAAAGCATAAATTTAAAATATTTTAGAAAAAACAAACACTAAAACAATCAGATAATAAAAAAAGGATTTCATCCATACACATGTAAAAAATAAATCAAGTGGTGGTTATCATGGTGGTGTATTACAGACAACAGGAAAAAAACAAATAAATAAAATGTAACATCAACAACAAAAAAACAATTAAAATAATAAACGACGACATTTTTTGTAACAATAAAACATTTGTTATTGTTTAACATACACTATTGACTACTATTTTGCATTTTTATGTGTATATATTTCTGTTTGATTTATTGCAAAACATACATACACATAAAAATGCATAAATATTTATATTTATATAGACGAAATAACAACACAAAAACAAAAAAAAAACACAACACAACATAAAACAAATAATAGTTTACGAATGAATGCATTTTTAGAGCATAATAATAAAATGAAACACACAGAAAATAAAAATAATAATAAGGATGACGAAATAGATTAATAATTACACTGGTATGCAAATTAAAAACAATAAAAATTCTTGAATTTAAAAAAATTATACACTAAAATTGTTTAAATTTTACAAAAAAAAAAAAAAAAAAAAAATGTCAAACATGTATTTTCAAAATAATGGATTTTAAAAATAAACGCTTCGTTACGAACTGTCCCGCAATCATGTCTTGTATTGTCTTAAAAACTGATTTAATAAAAATGTTCAAATTTCACAATTTTATTTATTGCGAAAAAATGGCTTCGATAAGCCTTTGTTTGGTGCTAAAAAATTGAGTTCATTATGGTCGACGTTGGCTCAAAGACGAGGGTCGTGAAAGTCGTCCAAAAACGGTCTTGTTGCTAAAGAACATTGATGTCGTCCGTGACTTGCCATGAAATAGAGGTATCCTTGGATATTTCTCCGTGATTTACGTTTATCAGATCGTTACAGTTGACAAATTATGGCTCTATGCAATTGAGTCCGATACAAAACAGCAATCGACAATGATGGTCTTCGAAGACGTGGCAAATCCAGTGAAAGTTTTTTGTAGAATAATCATTCTGATGCAAATGGTCGCCTTGAGTAACATAGGATGACATATACTGAGGGGTACACCATAATTTAATTGGCTGAAGTTTTTGGAGAAATTCGAAAAACGGACAAGACAATGCGATCACTCACATATCGGCTCCAAACAGAGCCATAGACTTATATTGAAACCCCTTCTGTTGATGGGGGTTCTGTTTTTGTAGAATAATCATTCCAATGCAAAATGGTCGCCTTGAGTAACATAGGATGACATATTCTGAGGTGTACACCATAATTTGATTGGCTGAAGTTTTTGGAGAAATTCGAAAAACGGACAAGACAATGCGATCACTCACATATCGGCTCAAAACAGAGCCATAGACTTCTATTGAAACCACTTCTGTTGAAAATTTCTGTAAATGCAAAGCTATTGCCAAAACTAGGACCTATATATTTTATTAACTCTCTAAACCCTCATCAGAATTGTTCTGGAAGGAATAAAGAACAACAGATATTATCATTTCCCCAGTATCCTACTAAGCTGAATTTCATTGGCCCAGCATAATTGCCTTGGAAAGACCGTAGACCGCAGCATTCGAATATGGTTAATCTATCCGGATTATTCTGGAAGGAATAAAGAAAAAAAAAAACACAAAAAATCCTTTCCCCAGGATCCCGCTAAGCTGAATTTTCTGACTCTTGATAAATTTTCCAACGACATTCATGTTGGCCCATGGTGCCTTGGAAGGAACCGTGGACCAAAATATTCCAATAACATTCTAAGTCGATTCTGTGTATTGAAATCATGAGAGACACCATTAATTAATTAAGACAACTTTAAGACAGACCTTTTTCATTGGATAGCAAATCTTCTAGGTATATTCCCCATACGTCCCTGCCTCAACATTAAGACAGACCTTTTGCATTGAAATTGGGATATATCCCTACACGTTTTTGTATAGTTCCGTCTTCTAGAGGTACTCTCCGATATTCCGTATTTTTGTAAACGTTTTATAACCGATTTGGATTTAATATGGCATTTTAGCAAATCTATCTACTAAAAATTATCGATATTGGGCCAAGTTTCGCATATGAAATCGTTTTTCGGAATTAATGACATATTGACCGAATTAGCTGTTATTTAGGTATTTGGTTTTCATTGGGTAGCAAATCTTCTAGGTATATTCCCCATATAAAGGCACCCTCGATTTTCCGTATTTATACCCGACACAACTAGGTTGTTACCGACTACCTTAGTCGATCTAGACATGTGAGTCTGTCCGTCTGTCAATTATAATTTGTAAACACGATCCTGCCCACAGTTATAGACCAATCTTCACGAAATTTTGCATGTAGGAGCGGTTCTGACCAGATAACACCCGTATTGTTTATGGAAATGAAATGAACCAAATACTTTATTTTGCAACGGAAAAGTTAATAGGATATTCTAGAGCAGCGGTTGACCTTTAAATTGATCCAATTATATTGCCATATTTACTCGGATAGGGGAGTAATACGTAAATATTTAAAGTGGTCTACGTTTCTGATATTGTTTAGTATTACCATTAGCACATTTGAGGGTGGAAATGTAGGAAATTTTGTGTAAGATTCCGGTTATTGTCAAGACGACTCTTATAATTTCCGGTGATGATTATACGAAATTTTGGAGGTGAAATGTACCAAAAGCTTTAATTTTATTATAATTATCAGACGAAGAAGACGAGCTTATGAATTAATTCGAATGGACGTCTTGATGACAAACGGTCAATATTTAGCGGGTCAAATGAACTAAAACTTTTTTGTGTAAAATAACAAAATTTTGAAACATATTGAGTACATTTTTTACTCCGGAAATCATAATTTGGAAAAGATTTCGCAGGAAAGCTTTTGAGCTCTAATCGGTCAAGAGAGAGCAAAAATCGTGGGAAATTATCCAGGCGCTTTTTTTTCTCATATTCCATTTTAATGCGGATTATGGTATGTATGTACGCGATCCCTACAAAAGGGGAGGTCGTCCCCTCGGTCGGCAGGGGTGGGAAAGTGAGACGTGGAGATACCTACCTAGGGATACCAAGGTCATTGCCCAATTTTCCAACTCGAGTGTGTATAGTTTGGTATTTCGTTCTGGCTGAACTTTGAAATACCGGCTGAACACATAGATAGTCCGAAAAGCTTTAAGCTTTCTAACAGTTCCTATGACTTAGAAGGACATGACGGCATATTGCCAATTTAATAGTATATACTAAAATTTGGTCTGATCGAACATAATATAAAAATATTATCCTATATAATATCCTATATAAAAAATTCCTAAATTTTAAATTCTTAAAAAATCATAAAATAGTTACGTATTACATTTAAAAAATTTCAATACAAATTTATATACCAGTGTAATATATATGCATATAAAATATATTTTTTGTCAAACTAAAACACACACACAAAAATTGAAACAAACAGAAAAAAGTTACACAAAACAAACAACAAAAAAGATAATGGAATGCCAGTATTGTATTTCTAGTCCGTGGTTTTGTGATTTGCGGTGGTTGTGGTGAACAATTTTCTAATTGAGTGGTGTTACAAATGATTATTATATAGGGGAGAAAAAAATTTGCAATTTTTTTCTGGTTGACTACTTTGATAGTTTGTGATTTTTTGGTTAGGGTGAAATTTTTAATCGAATTTAAATCGATTTGTATTCGTTATTGAATTTTTTTGGTTGGTGAACAAAATTTTTATTGATGGTACAGAGAGCGATAGTTTTTTTTTCGATTTTCGTTTACCTTGGGTAATTTTTGTGGCACCACTGGTTTAGGAGGCGATAATGGTTGTTGTTGTAATTTATTTGTCGTCTTTGTTGTTATACTATTATTCAATAATACCGAATTAATTGTTGTTGTCATTGTTTTGACCAGGGCGGCACCGGTGGCCACCATTGTCGGTGTTGTTGTCTTCGTTGGTGTTGTGGTCACTGTGGAGGTTTTTGTCAATGTCGTCGTCGGTGTAGTCGCGGTTGTTGTCGTTTGGGATTTCATTGGCATTTTAGGACTCTGTGTTTGTTGTTTTTTGTGTGTTTCGGTTTTTAGGTGGATTTGTGTTAATTTTTGTCGTTTTTTTGTAATTGTTGTTGTATTTATTTGTGGTTTGTTTGTTGGGGGATTGTTCATAATTCAATTATAATAACAATTGTTTGAAACCAAAAAACAAACATAGCCATACATGCAATAAATTAATTTAGTTTTTGTTGTTGTTTATGTTTGTTGTAGTTTTTTTGTATGAGTTGTATATTAAAAAAAATAAATAATTAAATAGAAAATTGAATTAAATATGTAGATTTATGTTGATTATTATTTATATATGTAGTTTATATTTTTTATTAATATATAAAGAGATTTATGATGGGCGTTGATAAGGTTTATAAATAAATTTAAATAGTTATAATAAATATAAATATGTTTAAATAAATTATTGTGAGCAGAAATTAAATTATTAAAGTGGAGGAACATCTAATGGTCAGTAAAAAATATTCTGTAGCAGTAGCTTCATGTATTCTATAAAATATTTGTCTTTTATTGGAGAAACATTTATAAATAGTCTATAGGAAAACCTATTGGTCTATTGGAAGACAGTTTCGTCTCATATGGGAATACTTTATGGTTTCTGTAGGATTGCTGGGTCTTTCAGAAGAAAACCTTCTGATATTCTAGAGAAAGATATACTGGTATTGTTAAAAAATGATAAACTGGTCTAAACGTAGACATTCTGATGATCTAGAGAATGATCTACAGTTAGGTCTCTATGGGTATACTTTGAGGTTTATATAAGAATGTTTGGTCTTTCATAGAAACACTTCTGTTCGGATAACCTAGAGAATGATTTAGAAAAATTACCTTCTGGACTTTTATAGAAATTCATTTTGGTCCTCTAGAAGACGACCATTCGAGTCTTGTAAGAATACCTTGTGATATTCTAGAAATATCTACTGACCTTCTATGGAAATACAGGGAGACCACCTGTTCTTCAAAAGGAAAATCTTCTGGGTTTCTAGAGGAAGACTGTCTGGCCAACTGGGTTCCAAAAGAAAGACCTGCTGATCATCTACAAGAAGTCATACTTGACTTGTATATGAGGTCCTAATGGACATCAAAGGTCTATTTATCGTCCAATGAAGAGGATGACTATTTGATCTTCTGTAAGAATATATTGTGGCCTTCTAGAAATATCTACAGGCCTTCTGTAGGAATGCAATCTGGGCTTTTTCGAATACTTTCTGTTCTTCTACAGGGAGATCACCTGTCCTTCAATAGGAAGACCTTCTGGGTTCCGAGAGGAAGACCGTCTGATCAACTCGTTTTCCACAGGAAGACGTACTGGCCCTTTTTGCGAAGCCCCTCCAAGAAAAAATAACCGCTGGTTCCATTTTCGAATACCTTCTGTTCTTTTGTTTGGCTGGTATATGAGGACCTTCTGATCATCAAAGGACTATTTTGCGTCTAATGAAGAATAATTTGTTTTCTATTGGAAGGCCTACTGGAAGGCCCTGTTGGTCACCTTTGCAAAGGCCTACTGGTTGCCTAAAGGATGACCTACTGGTCATCTAAAAGAACACCTGTTATTCGTTTAAAGAAAGACCTACTGATTGGCTAAAGGATGACCTATTAGTCCTCTAAAAAAACACCAGTTAGTAGTCTAAAGAAACTTCTACTGGTTTTCAAAAAAAGACCTTCTAAAATTCTATGACCTTCTGGTCTTTTGCAAGAAGATCCTCTGCACTTCTATAAGGAGACCACATCGTATTTTATAAAAAGAACTCATGGCCAAACTTCAGATCTTCTATAAAAAAATATATATAGATTTTGAGACGACCACCGAGATCTTCTATACTATACTGGTCTCCTGAAGAAACATTTATTTTCCTCTATAAGAAGATATTCAGGTATTTTGTAAGATGATTTTCTGAACTTCTATAAAAATACCTCCTAGTCTTCTACTTTCTGAGAGAGATTCTGGAATTCTATAAGAGGACCTCGTCATCTCAATAAGAAGACCATTTGACCTTCTATATGAATATCTAAGATATATCGATCTTCTAAGATATATCGATCTTCTTTAAATTTCTTCTAGGACTTCAATGCAATGACAAAGACTGGATTTTCTACAAAGTAGATTTCTGGTCATTCTATAAGAGGAAATTCTGGTCGTCTTTGAAGAAACTTCTGGCATTTGAAGGTCATTCATTTGTCAATTTGAAGACATCCTGCTATTGTATTAGAAGATGAGCAGGTCTTTTACATAAAGGCCCTCCAAGTTTCTTCTATAAGACGTCGACATTCTGGACTTTTATAAGAGGACCTCGTCGTCTCAAGACCATCGAAGACCTTCTAAAAGAATACCTTCAGGTCTTCAATCGGAACAACTTCAGACCTTTTCTGAGATTAATATATTGGCCTTCAGAGTACTATCTTCTATTAAAATATCTTCTATGATTTCAATGCAATGGCTTTCTGGCTCTTCTATCAAACAGACCTTCTGGTTATTCTTAAGAGGACATTCTGATCTTCTTGCCGGAAACTTCTGGTGTTCCATTAGACAATCATGAAGCAATATATACGAAGATCTCCTGGTATTGCATTAGAATATGGGTTGGTCTTCTACAAAAAGGCCCTCCAATTTTCTTCTATTGTTTTATTGGAATTCAAAGAAAAATATTCTTTTCATGCTGTTCTATGTCCTCGATGGTCATACGAATTCTATCTTTGAAGCCTTGGATTGATGTTGGGCTATTGGTATATATCTTGTGGTTCCAAGTAATTCGACAAGACAATTTTTTGATGGCGTTCCAGATAAATTTACTGCATATTAATGATCCAACCAGCAAAGAAAACGTCCAAGATCGGTTTGCTTGAGTTGTTGCTTTAACTGAACTTTTATAAGCCCTACCAAAGTCCCAATATTGTGTAATCACAACAATATGTTCAGTTGTTCCCAAGCTACGACTATAGTTTAATTCTCCATATCACTAATTTATACCAACCGCAAAAATTTTTTCTTCCCGACAACAAAAAATCCGAAGTTTTGTGAACTGTGACTGCATGATTCTTCAACATGTTTGCAGTGAACTTTAATAATTTCAATGCATTGATCGGATCCTGCCGAAATATATTGTAAATAAAAAACGAGACTTCCTTCTTAAGAAGACCTTCTGGACCTCCTGTGGGAAGTTCGTTATTCTACATATCCAATAAGAAAAATCTTCTAGTACCTTTGTTAACACCTTAAATTCAAGAAAAAATAATTTTTCTTCCCATCCATCATTTCTGGTCACTTTACCTTTGCAATCAGGATAATCGAAATATAAAAAATAGATATTTGTATAATAAAAAGGATAATGAATGTTGATTGTGTGTGATTATTATTTTTGTTGTTGTTAGCTTTTCTTTTTTGTCAAAAGCAAAACGAGCAAAAACCATGCTAAATTGAACATTATCTACTGTACAAAACCCAAATAAACATAAGGAAGAAACTAAATGAGAAGGAAGAAATGCGAAATCTTTGTATTATTTTTGTATGGAGGGAGGGAGAGAGGGTGTTAGGAAAAAACAAACATTAAAAATTCAGCATGCAGCATTTTGGCTTTTGAGTTACATCAAAAAGAGCTACCCCTCTTACAAGACAGACAGCGACTGCAGTGAAAACTAACTAACAAGGATAACCGAAGGAAGAAACTCACAGAAATCCTTAAATATATTACATTCTAGAAAAACAAATCTAGTGAAAATCTCAAGAAGTGAACACACAAAAAACAACGCAGCAATATAGAAATAATAACACTCAACTCCTCCTCCTGCTGCTGCTGCTTCGGGGGTGGAGTGTAAAAAATAATTGCACTGCTGGCTGATGCTGCTGCTATCTAAGGAGGAGGATGATGACGATGATGAAGCTATGGACTATCGTAATCTTCTAGAGAAAAAGTTCATTTCTACCGCTAAAGTCTTGGAGAATGAATGCGTTTCAATGATTTTTTGCATCAATGACATGGAAGAGAGTAATGGGGGAGGAGTCGGGCTGGAATGCCACTACATTTAGGGACGATTTGATTTTGCTAGCAGCACTTAAGAACGCAAAATCCTTTAATGCTAAGATCTACTTCAAAGTAAATACTTTTGGGGAAAAGAAAAAGGGCTTTTGGAATGTTTTCCACCCAGTTTGAAGAAGAACACAAATTATTTTCACAAAAGAGGTTAAAATGATTTTTAAGGGTTGGGGACGAAATGATTTTCGTTAAGTATTATTATCGAAAAATAAAATGATGTTGTTTGTTTTCCAAAAAAAAAAATTAATCTTAGAAAATGATGTTTTAAGAGAAAAGTGGATTTTCAAATAAAAGGACTATTCAAGAAATCTATACTATTTTTGGGTTTGTTTGTCTGGTTTTGTTTTCTTCTAAATGGTTTTTGTATTTAAAAAATGTGTTTTTTTTTTTGTATTTGTAAAAAATCTTTAAATTTTAATGATATGAATTGTTAAATATATTTGAGCATCACTTACCTTAATTGATGGAGGTCCACTGGAATGCGAATCATTATCGGCCAACACTGAGGGATTATTTTCATCGACAACAATTATTTCATAATCACCATCTTGTATGGTGCGTCCACCTTTTAGGTTTATTTTTTGATGATTTGAATTGGTGGTAAAAAAAAACAGAAAATAAATATTAAAGATTAATAATTAATTTGTATAAAAATATTATTTGGTTGTTTTAATAATTTCTCTTATAATTGCTCTTAATGTTACACATTAATAACTTAATTAACGTTACAATATTTTGTTGAATTGCGAAAAATTAAAATTTTAGCAAATTATAAATAAAATTATTAATTTAACTTATTAACTGGAAATATTTAATATAAAAAAATAAATTTTGGCATAATTAAAAAAATATTTAAATAACTTAAAAATAGAGGCTGGTGAGTGCATTTTTTGTTTTTTATATATTTACATAGAATATACAAACAGCAAGAAGATTTTTTTTTAAATAAAATATTAGGGGAAATATTACATTTTAGGTTACATCTTTTGTTCTTTAAAAACGTAGAAAATAAATTGTATATTAAATTAGAAAAAAAAATTCTTGTCAAAAATGGTTTATTTAAATGCCTGAACATCAAGCTTTGAAAATTTTTAAAATATCAATTTTAATTAATTTAAGTCTTTTAAATTATCATTATGGCTCCCCCTGATATAAGGTCAACATCCCAACGACTATTTTAACCAGTGAGCTGAGCAGTATATTCGTACGGGGCCGACCATATGATACCCTACTCAACTACCACGAAAATATACCTTTATGCGGTTTTATATTCTGAGCCTGGCAACATTTCGTGATATTTGCACCCTCTTGACGAATAAAGGTCAACAACTCCACTTTCAGTTTATTTACGCCATAAAATAAAAATTTTGTCATTTGGTTAATTTAACCCTCGAAATATTGACCGATCATCATTTAAACTGCCTTTCAAGAATTTGGTCAGATCAACTTCACCGTGTAAACTATAATAATGGCCTCTAGAGCGACTAGAAAATCTGACATGCCTAGATCGGCTCTGCTAGTCGAGATATGCTGATCAGTATACTTAAAGACGTGTCTAAGACTAATATTTCACGGCGTTCTTGGGACAAAGATATAATACCCTGACACCATAGTTGTGTAGGGTATAAAATGCATGATTTTTCTACAAGGCGTCACATTAATCACCTATATGAAACATTTAGCTCTTTTATAAGATAAGAATACCTTCAAACATTCTATAAGGAGAACTTTAGCTGATGTAAATGAAGATATCGAGGAAAACTATCAATCTGATATTTCAGATCATTAGATCTGAACATGAATATAACTTCGAAATTTTACAATCTCCTATACTATAAAATAACAGCCGCTGATCTTTAACTTTCTGCATACCTAAATCTCGACCCTGTGTAAACCGAATATACAATATATTTGCGTATAATTCCCATATCCATCCGCCTACATCATAAAAATTTTATATCAAATTAAAGGCCAACCATCCTTATTTCAAATGCTCTTAGAAAATTCGAATCATGTATTCCCGAAATCATGCTTATTTATTGGGCAGATTTTCTTCCCCATGTCGTGGCGTTCGGGTCGTAATTGTGACCTCTAGCGAAACCAGAAAAATAAAGTTTTTTGCCCAATTTATTCCCTAATATTAACTTCGATCATGTAACTCATCACGAAAGAGAAATAAATAAAAGCATTTACATTAATGATTCGCCCTAAAATGGCATAAAAATCGAAAATTCAGCTTGAGCCCGGCTGGGGTTTAAACCCTGGTGCCTATGGCATATCTCAATTGTTGCCCGGCTCCTTAACTTCCTAAGGTTGCACAATATCCAGATGTATACCATGAAAGAAAAATATTATAGGTTGTATGAAAAAATAAAGTCATGACTACATGAAAATCTGTTCTGAATAGGAATATTCTGATGTTCGATGACAAATGTCGGAACCTTAACCTTACAAAAATATCAAATAACGACCTTTGTAAGCCACATTCCCCAATATGGCGGATGCGCCGCATAACTAACAGCGAAAGCGTCGCATAATGGTGGGAATGTAGAATCTCTCTGGCGTTTCTTTTCATAGCAACTTCGATCATGTAGCTCATCTTGAAAGAGAAATAAATAAAAAAATTAACCGATCAGTCCTGTAAGGTTTCATGATGATTGATCCGTAACTGCCGTCGTACCTCCATTTAAAATTATCGATTCAGCTAATCGAAGTGGGTGGTCTAGGTCCAATATCTCGTGGCGTTACAAATTCTTTCATAACAACTCTTCCTCTCTGTGGTAGTGTTGGTTACGATTCCATTTATTAAATTAGTTAGTGGGTTAACAATTATCACACGGAAATTTACAAACAGAAGGCATGAACGTACCTCAAACCTTACTGTGGTACGTTTATCCTAAATTTTTTTGTAATTTTCTATGGAAAAGTCAGATCGTGCAGGAAAAAACCGTAGTTCTGTCTAGACCGGAAATATATATAGGAGTATAGCTACGGTATGCACCAAAATAAATCATATCGGTCAAAATTTTCTTTATTTTTAAGTCGATGTTAAGGTTTTTGTATAACGAAGCCACTACACGCATTAGATACTTTGGACTTTCAGAATTGTTTATACATACTCACAGATTATTTTTATCCTAGTCAGTGCTTTGAGTATTTTTATACCCAAGTATAAAGGTTGAAAATTCTTGGAGAAAAATTGTTATTATAGGTACGAGCCTCCATATAAAGGTTATAAAGATTACCGTACTTGTTGTCTTATCTGACAATTAGAGTGTTGAAGATTTCATAGAAGTAAAAAATTAATATTGTACCAAAGTTCCTCACAGAAAGGGGTAACTCAGTGGATGTATATCATAGATCCCAAATCTGTTATATATTCTGGTTTTTAGGATTTTTAAAACATATTTGAGGATATATTCTGGTTTTTATATATTCTGGTTTTTAGGATTTTTAAACCATATTTGAGGAGATTAGGCAAGTTTTTCAACCAAAAAAAAAAATCTTCCTACCAAATATGATCAATAATTTTGCATCAGATATTGAAAAAAATCATCTTCATACAACTTAGTCATGTATGTATGTTGTAGAATTGTATATTTATATTCAGAACAATGTACACTGCATCTGCCGAAAGTTTGATTCATTAAAAATTCATATATTTTAGACAATATTTACAGTAATATATATATACCCCAAAATACATAATGATGAATGGAGCTGAATGACACAACAGACCTATGCTGATAAATGAACATACAAAAATTGTATTTATTTACAAAACATAAACTATTTAAAATGCATATATCACACAACATAACGACGACGCTAACAATAAAGGTTAACGGGTTCTGAAAATGGTACTAAATCTTAGCTATGAAGAAATGATTTATTATATATGTCGAAGCAATTTCCATAACCCTTTTTAAGGAGAAAAATGTCGAAAAAAGTTTAAAAATTTGAATTCAATTGAAATTAGAAAAAAACATCACTAATTCATGTGAATCATAACAAGTGTTTTGCTATCCGGTTCAGTGGACGAGTTCGTCAAAGCTTATTTTATTTAACAGTATCAAAAATAGAAAAATTGACCGCAGACTAAAAATTATTAGCTTAGTTTCCAATGGGAATAACTTTGATGTGAATCAAAATAAAATATCAGACTCAGCACATACTCAAAACATTTCAACTAACTTGATCGTCAATTGCAATTTCTATTTTAATTTGAATTCTGTGTTTTGTTTTATTATACCATTTTTTCTCTAAGTGTTATCAATTGTATGCTGGATATTACGACAACTATAACAACAGCTATAATTCAGACAAATGTAAACGACTGAATGTCGGTGTATTTACTTTTTGGGACCAACAACAAACAAATAATGGTTTTGTTAAATATACTCGTACTAGCAATGTACTACTACTACTGCCTATTTGACTTGTATTTATTGATGTTTAAAATGCATGAATGCATTTTGTTGGCCACCGAATATACACCACACAATAGTCTGCGTTTGGTACAATTGTATTTGTATTTACAAAACGTTGAATAATTAATGGCTTCCATTGTATTGTCAACCATCTGTCAAAATGTAGATGGATACATGTCTATAAATACACACACACAAAATATTTATTTAAATTTTTCGTAATGTTCATTTATGTATATATTTTCGTCGTGGAGCATTTTTTTTTCTAGAAATAAATTTTTCATTTTGAATATTTCATAAGGTATTATATTGAAATAATTTGCTGACATAAAATTGACAGTTAATTTGGAGCAAATATTTAATTTCATGTCATATTTTTATAATGGAAATGGTTGTTGTCGCTTCATTCGGCATTTGTTTTGCATAATTTAAGGTAAATTTAATACATTTTCAAAAATGTAATCATAGTTGTGTAGAAATGTTAGAATAATGGGAATTAAAACCACAAAGGGGTTAAAAATAACATTTTTGATATGGGAATTGATGAATTAGATATTTTTATTATTAAAATAACAACACTTATGAGAATTATCAATGAACTGTGGTCATTTTTATCTCTAGATTTTTAACAGGCTACTACAGGGATAAATTCTTTCTCCAAAACAATTTTTTGTTAATATAGGTGACCAAGGAAGGAAGTGCTATTGAAAATATTTCCAAAGTACCTCCCGTTCTTTTGGAACCTGATTTTGGATGATATTAAATTATATAAGTTTTTATCATTTTTTGATTTTGTTTGATTGCCAGGGTTGTATAAAAAATTTAAGAATACCGACACTCATTACTTTTCGGAAAAATTTCTTTCTTCGCCCTGGCCGAACTTATTATTAGCTTCACCATGTGAGGGACATTCAAAATATTTAAATATGAGGACTGTAGAATTAAAAAGTGCTGTCAGGAGAAAACGAAATGCCAAAATATTAGATTGGGGAAAAATAAATTCTCTTTTTTTGTGTAAATGGTTTAAAACATTTATAATAATAAAACATAATTTCTCCGATTTCATCGACATTTTCGACGACCGGCCTATCTGTGGGAAGTACATCTTTAACATCAAAAATTTATGAACGGAATCTACGAAACCAAAAATTGCACATAATTGGTTGTTAGAGTATCGGAACCATAAACACCATTCACAATTTTAGCCGCTTGGCTTGCATTTTCACATTTGTCAAAGAAAATCTCTAAAATGTACCAACGAAATAATAATACGGGCAGTTATTTAAGGACTGTCCAAAAACGTTGCCTAATATTCATAAGTTTGAATATGCAGATTGGAAAAGTCTACGGAAGATCAGCAAAAGACAAACCAGACAAATAATGACAATACGAGCATGCACACATCGACACAAACCAGATGATGGATCATCCACGGTACAGCCCCGACATGATACCCAAAATAATGTTTTAACGCGAATAGTGCTGTAATTATTTTATTTGAATTTTGGAATAAAACTTTCAGCGTCTCTAGATTGATTTATTGATCGTCTTATGAGTGTGACCATATGGCACAGCTCGGGTTAAGTAACGTGATTTGCAGTACCAATCACATTGCCTTATAGATTCATTATCTGAATCTTTGGAGAAATATGAAAAACGAACAAGGAAATGCGAATATTTGTGTACCACTGCAACGCAGGATTTCACACATCGGTTCTAATAGGGTCGAAACAAGGAATTGATGGGTCATTTTACGTACAACCTTGACTTGGCGCCCAACGATTTTTTGAGCATTTTAAGTGAAACATTATCATTTGTTTGCTTAAGTCTTCTGAGAATAAGAGAAGACGAATCATTGTGCACCTGGCACATCGGTTCTGAGCTGTGCCTTTTTGACAGGCCAAATTATGGAATTAAAGGAACGTCCGCAGGAACATGGCACTCAAAAATTTCAAAAGCAAAGTAGGACTCTCAATTCAGAGTGATAAAAATATTTTAGCCTAAAGTCTTTGGAGATATTTGAAAAGGAAAAATTCGAAAAACGAACAAGAACAGATAAATGATTGTGCACGATAGCAATGTAGACTTTTCGCACATTGACTCAAATTCGCCGTACAGACATTTGAGATTTGGCGCCCAATCACTTCTTAACGTACGACCTTCAATTCTGAGTGTCAAATTGCGAGTCATTGTGCACCTGACACTTTAATTGTGATCAGAGTCTTTTTGACAGGTCAAATTATTGAATTGCGGGATTGTCTGCAACATAGGACTGTGAGTGATACCTCACAGTTTTTTTAGTCTGGAATCTTTGGAGGGCGGAAATGTAGTGCTGATCGCTTTGAAATTTTACAAGAAGTTCTGGCTATGGTCAAGGACGACGCCGATAAAAAAGTATTGAGATGATATTTAGGGTGTGCAATGAAAGGATAACTTTACTTTTGTCAGATTTTCTAGTCGCTCAAGAGCCCTTATCTGACCAAATATTTAGAAGGGTTGTTTAGATAATGATCGGTCAATATATCGCGGGTCAAATCAACCAAAACCTAAAGTGATTAAAATTTTATTTTACTTCGTAAATATTCATTTAGGGAAAAAGATTTGGAAAATATGCCAGGGTTAGAAATATTGTCCACGCTCAGAGTATGGAACTGCAGAAAGTTAGATTTTTGTAGTAGTTGTGTAGGGTATTATATGGTCGGTACTGTCCGTCGATACTGCTCCGCTCACTGGTTTTAGTTTATAACAGGTATATAAATAAATTGCTCTAAACTCAGAAAATGCAAAAAATTTCAAAATAATTGACAGACCTTTATTCTAGAAAAAAAATTACTGAAAATTAAGAAAATGATTTGATTTTGAGGACTTATATTTCATATAAATAGGTATTATTAATTGGAAATGTGTATTTGAAATTCAAATAAAATCCATATATAAAGAAGATACCACAATTTTATCTCAGACCCTAATTTATCACAAACCAGAACAATTCCTCACAAGCTACTTAATTCGGAGAATACAATTTTCTTCGATGAATATAATTTCCAATTTGATTTTTTAGTTGGAAATATTAGATATTGGATCTGAATACCTATAACGGAAGAACAGAGGATTTTTGTCGTTTGTCCATTTATTTTTTTGGCACTGATTTATTTCAAGTACATTTCGAGGTCAATAAATCGCCAATTTGAATCCACCTCTCCTTCGAACAAGCAAAACGCCAATATATCGTTTTTATTTTTCCTTTATAATCCTTTTGTTTAATTCTGACATTTAATTTCTGAAATTAGCATCGCATTTTTATGTTCCACATCAAATATTCGTTCATTTTTATTTTCAAGTTTTTTTTTTAATACATTCGAAACATGCCTATAATACAGATTCAGTTTTAAGGGTTCTCGTGGAATTGTGGGAAGAATTGTTTTGATGGTGCTTTTTTATTTGGACAAAAAATAGGTGCTCAAAAAATGGTGCCATCTCGTTATTTATGAAGTGCGTGAGAAGCAATAAAGAAAACAATACAAAAACTGGAAAAGAAAACGAAATCCCAAGTAAATAGCAAATAATAAACAAAGAAAATAAACATAAACAAAAATAATGGTTGACAAGGCAAATGAAAAGAAGGCGAGAAATGAAGCACCTTTCGGACAAGTGAACAAAAGAGGTAGCCGTTTGTAACCCTAATATACCTTGTTGTTATTAGTATTAAAGAATTAGAATGGAAAAATTGTAAGAAAAACGAAATAATAATTCAAGATAAACAGAAAAGCTTTTTTAAAGGAATCGAATAACAAGCTAATTAAAATGAAAAGAAGAAGACAAGGAATAAACAAACAAACGTAATATAGAAGGCCATGAAAAACGAGATTAGCCATAAACCAAAAAAATAAACTGAATGGCATTATCAAAAACAATCGTCAATAAAATAGATAAAAACAAGGGAATAACAAGAATTTTTGCCATAATGAAGAAATTTGAAGCGGAAAATTAAAGAAGAAAAGAAAAACATGATAGAGATATCATTAAAAAGCCTATTAAGCTAACATAAAAATGTAATCTGAAAGATTTCAGAATTTTTATGTTATTGTGAAATGTTATCACAAAAACACATACATACAAACGAGATAAAGAAATTAAGGAAACGGAAATGATTTTCCAAAAAAAGAAGAAGAAGAGGAAAACTCAAAACGAAACAGGCTAACATAACTCTCAATAATAAGATAAGATTTATAACTATTGTTAAAGAGGTAAACAAATATAAAGAGTCTTCAACAAAGAATGTAAGAGAGAGATACTAAGAGAGCAACAGTATGCAGTAGTACTCTTTCATATACAGTATATGTTTTAATACCTGTTCCAGTTGTTGTACGTCCATTATAACGATAATTATTATTTATACCATTATTTTGTTTATATGCAGAGGATGCCGCCATGACATTGGCCCCCGATGCCACTGGACCTGTTGTTAGGCCGCCATGCATGCCAATACCGCCACCGACAGCTGTACCCAAAACATGACCACCAACACCATTACGCATATTACGACCATTATTCATGGCCGAAGCGGTCATAGAATTGTGATTGCTGCCAGTCGGGTTGCCACCATTGCTATTAGTATGCATTAGCCCGGGATTATTGCCATTTGCAATTTGATTGCCAATAACACCGCCATTTAACATCATACCACCTCCACCACCGCCGCCAACAACACCAGCTCCACCATGCTGGGCATGATAATCGACAATACCATTCTGGTGAGCTGAGGTCATACCATTTAGACCATTCGTCATCATCATGGCTGAGGAAGATGTTGAAGGTGTACGCATATATTGTTGTTGCTGGCCTGCTCCTGTTATATGGCCATGCTGATGATGATAGCCGGCCCCATTCATATCAACAATACCACCAGCATTTGTGTATTGTTGTTGCTGTTGTGGCGTCGATATTTTTCCATTTAACACTTGACTGCCATTCATCATGCTGTAGTGGCCTCCATTGGCTCCAGCAGCGGCTGCTGTCATGTGTTGCTGTTGTTGCGGCTGGTAATGTTGGTGTTTCTGTCCATGACGTCCATGTTGTTGCTGTTGCTGCTGATGATGTGGCTGTGAGGCCAAACTTGAAAGTGAAGATGTTGAGGCTGGTTGTGAGGTGTTGGTTGTTGAAGATGTTGAAGGACTTGTCGATTGGTTAGCCAAAGGCGGTGAAGGACAATGGGTAGCATAACTAGCTGCTGCTGCCACTGCTGCATTATTCATTGCCTGCTGATGATGATAGTATTGGTGTTGTTGTTGTTGCTGCTGCTGTTGATGTGCCAAGTGATGATGTTGATGTTGTAAATGAGATGTTTGTTGCATTGACTGCTGCTGTTGCTGATGTTGATGCGGTGGCGGTGAAGGCATTTGTTGATGATAATATAATTGTTGTTGCTGCTGTTGTTGTTGGTGATGATGATGTTGCTGAACATGTTGTTGCTGTTGCATATTTGTTTGCTGTTGCATATTGCCTGCCGTTACATGATTATGATGTGTACCGGGTAAAAATTGTGGATATACATGATGTGACCATTGTGGAAAGAGGGGACGACCTGAGGGTTCTACTCGAGTTAAAAAGGGGAAGAATAATTATAAAAGGAGAGGGGGAATTTTTTGAGAAGAAATAAAGCCAATAGATGTTAAGAAAATATGTGAAAAAATAAATAATTGGCAAATGAAATGAAATGGAATTACGAGATAAATCACGACGGGAGTAACATAAGAAAAATACAATGTTGTCAAATGGGAGAGAAAATAAAAGTGAAATAAAGAGAGTCAAAGATATACGTCGTTAAGAGAGAGGTGATTTATTAAAATATAAAGAGTGTAGACAAATATTGAAGAATAATAGAAAATAATAAGGGATCGAGAAATGGGAAGATAATAAGGGATCGAGAAATGGGAAATTGAGAAAGAGCGAATATTTTAAACATGACAGTATAATAATTTAAATAGAAACATAGAAGAAGAGAATTAGCAAAAAATACACAGAGAGAGAGAATTAGTTGAGAGATTTAAAATTATATGAGAAGATATTTGAACGAAAAATGAGATTGAGAGAAAAATAAATTAATCAATAAATTAAAGAAAAAAAGGTTATAATTATTGAGAAAAAAATAAAAAATAGGGAAAATATAATGAAATTTATGAGCGTGCCAAGAGAGCATTAGAAGAGAGATTTGAAATAATGTCAAAGGAGAGGAAATTAATATGAAGAAATGAAAAAAAATATTGGAACATAATTCAGAAAATTAATAACAAGAAGAATTCCAAGAGCGAAAAAATTGTGTGGAAGAGATAAGAAGATGTTAGGGAAAAAGGGAAATGTTACAAGAGATCAAAAAAATAAAACAACAGAAAAGGGAAAATATTTGGAGGGAATAATATCGATGTTTAACAAATAGAATAAGAGTGTTAGTAAGAGGAGAGAGATTTAAAAAATGGATACAAATAAAATGTAGGTGAAGTATTGAAAAGAGAGGAGGGAGAAATAATAATACATTAAAACAAAATATTAAATTGAAAATAGGTAAAGAGGGAATATTAGAAAGAGTGTAATTAAACCCAAAAATACATTTGAGAATGGATACAAATGAAAAGTAGGTAAATTAGAGATAGAATTGAAAAGAGAGGAGAGAGAAAAAATAATCAATTAAAACAAAATATTACATTGAGAATAGGAAAAGAGGGAATATTATAAGGGGATTAATTAAAACCAAACATAGATTTTGAGTGGATATGACACAAAAAAAAGAAAGAGAATTGAGTAAGAAGTTGAAATAGAGAGTGGAGAAAAATCGGAGCAGGATATAAATGAAGATCCCGAACAGGAAGAGAAAAAAATATTGTATGATAATATATTTTAATAAGAAATATTGAAATTGGGATACATATATGAAAGGTAGAATATTGAAAGAAGGGAGAGGGAAAGAAATATAAGGGATAGGTATCAGAAAAAAAAAAATTATAGAAAATTCCAATAAAGTCAAGAGCGACGGAAATCGATTAATTTTTGACAAAGAAATAATTATTTCCAAAAATAAAAATAATATATAAATTTCCAAGAAATTAAAATTGAAAAATAAATATCAATTCAAATAAATGTCATGTTATTATTAAATTTCAAATAACATAAAGAAATAAATAAATTTCAGGAAATATTAAAATAAAAAAATGGATAACAGGCAAAAAATTATTAAATTAATTATCAGAATTATTTAATAACGATGAATGGTTGTTGGTTGGTCGATTTTATGATGGAATTGTATTGATAATTATTTTCCCATACATACACAGACACATTTACACACATTGTTGCCAAAAAAATTTTTCATTTGTATTGACATCAGTCAGGCAGGCAGGCAGACAAACATAAAGGTGTGATATACAGCAACAACAGCAGCAGCAGGATATAAACGATGTTGGTTTTTTGAAAGCAATTTTTATGTGGTTTTATTATGTTTTTTATTTATTTTTGTTTTTGTTTTTTATATTATTTATGGCAAAAGGAAATATGCATTTATTAAATTCCACAGCAAAGGTAGTAGTTATTATTGCGACAGGGCGACAGAGAGAGAGATAGGTAGAGCAGAGAGTTTTCATCGCAAATTTTTTTGGGGTCAGGGGGAAATATCGAGGAAATATATATTATAGATTATGGCATATCCGGCGCATCAAGAGAAATTTAAATGTAGATAAGGAGTTTATGTACAAAAGTTTAAAGTGTTGTTGTAGTTTTGAGTTTTTTTTTTTGTTGATTTAGCAAAAAAAAGTTATTGATGACGCATATAGTTTGTAGTTCAGTTGGTGTTGGGTGGATGATTTAAGGGTTTTGGGGGGAAAAAACATGGCATTACATTTTATTTTCCACATGGAATATTATACAAGTTTGGGGATGGTTTGATTTTTTTGTTGTTTCATTTGTTTCCACAATGAATTATTATCATACACAAAAAAAATGTCCGGAATAAAAGCAGCATGGAAAATTAAATACGTAAAAACCAGAACAGAAAAAAAGTAGAAGAAAAAACGAGAAAAGGGGTTCCATGATTAGCAATACGTTTTGGTTTCAGTTTTTTTTTGTTCTGTAGTTTTTTTATTTTTTGCATAGCAATAATGACATTATTAACAACAAACAACTAACCAAGAAAATAAAAGAAAAAAATACTAACAACAAAAAAATTAACTAACTAAGAAACTTTTATTAAAACAAAAGAAGAAAAAAATCGCCCTTAGCCATATGACTGGCTATGATGGACAAGGATACCAAAACTAAAGCTGAGAGGAAAATTTGGGCTGGGAGGATTAGGAAAAGAGCCAAATTAAAAACGAAAAAAATACAACTGGAATTTGAGGGAACAAAAACGAACATAAAAAAGAAATGAAAACAAAATTAAAATCCCTTTAGAGCAGGAAACAAGAATGAGTTTTTTTTACACAATGGGAAGTTAGGTTCGTTTTTTTCTTTTTTCAGATAATTTGTTTCATGATTATCATTAGTTTTGTTTTAGATTTTTTTTTGCTATTGTTGGGGATTTTGTTTTGGTTTTAGATACAATTTTTTGTTACATTTTCTATTAATTTCAAATAACAGAGGGTAACATTTACACAAAAAAATTTCCATTCAACACAGAAATTAAAAAATTAAAACAAGGATTTATAAATTAAAATAAAAAATATTTAAAAATAAAAAATAAATTGTTTTTCAATTCTCTGCCATATTTCACAAATTGAAAACTAGTTGCACTGATTTTCAATAAAAAATAAAAATATTTTAAATTATATATAAATATATAATACTCTAATTATAACTAAACTAATATTAGCTACCCCCTTTTTTAATAAAAAACAAAAAAACTCAACTTAAATAACATAATTTTAAATAAATTTAAAAAATAACTTAAATAATAAATTTGTGATTTATTTTTATTAGTAATACTGGTTTTTTACTACTTGTTTAAAATTAAAAAATACTTTTTGTTAGCTTTGATTTATTGTTTTGGGGTTTTTTTGGTTACGTGAGAATTTTGGTGCAGTTTGGAATAATAATTCTTAACATTTTTTTTTTTTTTTTTTTGGAAAACAAAAAATAATCTTACTAAAATCATACATACACATAACTTAAATTAAATAAATTATATTCTTTTGGTTTTATTGCTATTGTTTTTTTTTTCTAAAAATAGTGGATTGTGTTCTATGTATAGAAATTGTCAAATTGTACTTACCGCCAGCTGATCTCTGCATTATGGGCGATTGCCGTTGAATTTGTGGTTCTGCTGGTGGCTCCAAAATATCACGATATTTGGATACCATCAACACGGAAATAAAATACACAATGGCCAATGATAGAAATTGTGCTTGTTTTGTTTCCTCCTGGAAAGAAATATTAGACAATTAAATTTATAATATAAATATAATGAATTTTGTTAAAAAATAAATAAAAATTATAAAGGATATGCAATTATTGTAAAATATTGCAAAGCGGATCAAATTTTTTTTAAGTATTGTAATTTTTCACATTTTTTAAACAACTCATAAACTTGTTTCTCTTATCAAAACTTTGGTATTAATATTTGTATTTGGTATTAATATCAAAATAATTTGGAAAATACATATGCGAATTTTTTAACACCAATGCAAATGTCTATAACTGTGCCTCAAAGAAACAATGGAGTGCAAATCTAGCCACAATCGAGCGAGTGAAGAGACTTTGATGGTTAGCAAGAGAAAGAGTAGTTAAACAAATGGTTGCAAAACTAACAAACATCAATTGAGAGGAAAGGGGGAGGACGATATCAACGGACAACGAATGGTGGTGTTGGTTTTATTCTTCGGAAAAATGCATTTGTTTTTGTCAATAAAATATAGAGGGAGAGAGTGAAAAAATGAGCGCAAATAGTGGTATAGTAGAGCGAAGTTCTAAATATACAATTACGTCTACCAATGCCAACTGTTCACTTTCAGTGTTCGATTCCTGATTTGCGGACATAACCCATCATTCTAATTTGACTTGCTGGACAACTTTGCATATTCGACCAGCGTTATATATTTGTCCGCTGTTGCAGGAATCGTATATGCAATCCTTTCTGCTATCCGAATATCAGAAGAGTTGGACAGATATTTATGCGATAAATGATCAAATTTCTGTTCCCCGTCGAACTGATTTTCCTGTGGCTGGGATTACAACGGGGAGAGGTAAGGAACGATCGGGGAGAGTAACGATCGGTAATAGGTCTTGTTCTTCCGTTCATCTTGTTACTTTTGCTCCAGTCGGTGCTTTTTGCACTAGTTCCGTTTGATCCGGTCGTTCCTGTTTTATTTAATTCCTTTTATTCCGTTCGTTATTTTTTTTAATATGAAATTTATTGCCCATTTATTCCGATTCAAGTCTCATGTATACAATTTTAAAATTTGAGGAACTATGAAACTAAAAGAACAAACGTAGCCCCTTTTGTGGAGCGAACCGAACAAGATCGAGCCACTTGATGAACGAATCGCTTGATGAAAAATCCGTCTATTTGAACGTCTGCGCTTCTTGATTTTAGTTCATTTTACTACCAGTTTGCTTATTTACATCTTCCCGTTCATTGACCGAATTAACTGATGTCTACCACTAAAAAGGAAGATTGAAATCAGCCACGTTCATTTTGCGAAACGATCCGAAAAAGGTCGAACAGGTTCAGGGATTAAATTTCTCGACTTTGAAGAATATTGATTAATTTTCAAAATCCGAAAATTGCATAGAGATACTTTATATACGAATATTTCTTCGGTTATCCAGAAGACCCGTCACGGTCCTTATACAAAAAAGTGATTTTAAGCAAACCGAAGTAATGAGCCGTCATGGGCTTTTATCTAAGGAAAAGTAATTTTAACCCAACCGAAATAAAGAGCCGTCGTGGGCCTTTATCCAAAGTGGTTTTAAGCAAATCGGAATAAAGAGCCGTCGTGGGCCTATATTTAAAAATAATTTATAGCAGATTGGAAATAAAGAGCTATCGCGAGCCTTCATAGAAAAGTATTTAAACCTTTAAAAGCGACGAAAGGAAGCAGAAGAAACCCTCACTTCCTCTCTAATCCGTCTTCAGTTATTTGTGATACCAACAGCCGTACCTGAGTAGTAGTATATCGGAACCAGACGTTGAGGACTTCAAAAATTTAAGTATAAAGAATTTTTGTATCAGTTTAAGTTTCTAAATAAAGCGAAGTAATCTGAATTTGAAAACTAAAAATACATCCTTTCACTCTCGGTCACCACCCCCGAGAGCATATCCCGCAATGGGAGGAAACTGTTAAATACTTTCAAATTTAAATATATATTTTTTGTGTTTTTATAAAAAAATACAACAATGAACAAAGAAATACTCAATAGCCATTACTTACCACATCTCGATAGATAACAGCTCTTAAACGATTTACATCCATGTCTTGTAGCAATTTCTCAGGATCCTTAACAGGAGATAATTGACCTGTTATTGACTCGACAATGTTCTAGAAAATACAAAAGAAACGAGAAGAAACAAAAAAAGTAATAAATAAGAATATATGAAAACAGTAGAGACATAAAAAATAATAACAACACATAAAATAAGTTCACATCAAATTCAATAGAGTCAACTATGGCACAAAAGGGGCCACAGCAAGACTTGAATTCAAGTAGTCGATCTCAACAATAGAGTCACTTACAACTCTTGCACTTTGTGTGCAACATCAAATTTCACATTGCTTTGACAAGTGTCCACAATGACAATGAACGATAGACGGACGGACGACGGACAGACAGGCACACCGACAAGCCAATGAAGAGTACTGGCGGACAACCAAAAACCAAGGAAGGTATCATATTTGGCAAAATGTCGTAGTTCTTGGCTTTTGTTGTGCACAATATCCAAAACCATGTAGAGGGTATAACCACCCAATTTCCGTTTGCCTTTAAACAACCCGAGATGTAGGTAGCTTTTGTTTGGTACTTTCCAAGCCATTTGTGTCATGGTAACAACGACAACAACAATTATGCAGCATTTTCTTACTGCCGATTTCATCCATTTTCTTCTTGGCAAGGCTCCCATTTAATGACAGCCACACAACCAAACATCACCAGGACTACAACAATGGCGGCAGCAGTACAATTGAATATTTCGTGAAAGAAGTGATGCTGGCAAGTGCAGTATCACATGCCATAAAGCGAAGATTTTCTTCTCTTTTTCTCTTCATCCCTCTCAATCAACAAAAGGAGGCAGAAAAGGGAAAACAAATACCAGATGTAAAGGGCACAATAATAATGCCTTTTAACAACACTCTATTAGAGGGGGGTAATAAAATTTCCCATACTCCCTACAATTCTTTGGCCCACAATTTGCTGGGTGATACGCCTGACGGGTTGACTGGTTGGCAGACTGGCATTTTTGGTACGTGTCTGGTCGTGGACGGACGAACGAACGAACAATCAGTATGACTTTGACGTACTCTTGTTCACTATTAAATTTAACAACACAGACCTTTGTTTTCCCCATGTTTTATTTAGTAAATGTGTATGTTTGTGTATGTTGTTTTTATGAGAAACTCACCTTAGGCGAAGCCTGTGCACCACGTATCAGCGCTTGCAAATGAGCTGCCCCGGGCACATCTCGTGCCATTGCACCAACATTGTACCGTGTACGCTCCTTGCATTCCAAACAATTTCGCACCGCACACGTACAGACGAGACGCAAACATTGTCGCAATATACCACCGCTGGACATATTCTTCTCCGCTTCCAATTCACCGAAATTTAATGATGTTGCAAAAATTAACACGTCAGCCATGTTGACAAGTCGCTGTAGAAATGATACAGCCACCTCCAGTGGCATACCTTGGGTGGGTTCCAGGACATCAAGTTCAGACTAAAAGTAAAAAAAAAAAACAGAAAAAAATGGAATTAATTGAAAAAGTCAATTTGGGGGAAAAATGAAAAATTAAATTTAAATTGCAGGTGAAGTTTGTTCGTGGTGGTGACATTTGAATGAGATGAAAGTTTATTTTCATTTTTTGGCAAATGAAGTGAGGGAAATAATTTCGCTGTAATAGATCTTAAATTGGTTCGAAGCAAAACCCCAGAATGCCAATTTACAGCCACTTTGCGCAGAAAAAAAGGAGGAAACTTTTTTATTGAAGATATGACAAAACGTGGACTGTTAAAATACCGAAAATAGGAATAGACATAGGGGCTATGATCCGAATTCCAAATTACAACCACATCGGGCGGAAAATGAGTCTAATATACCGAAAGAAGGAGGGAACTTTTTATGGAGGACACGACAAAACATAGAAATATTTTTCACACTCTAAGAGCCCGGAAAAGCCAAATTGCCGGGGCTTTGAGCGGAATATGCGACAATAAGATAAAATACCGAAAATGAAACGGGACCTTATATGAGGGTTGTGTCGAAACGTGAGCCAATATTAAAACATTTCTGCCTTGATTTCCCATCTTCCAGGACCTGAAATCACCCACTTCGGGCAGAAAATGCTGCAATAATCTTACATATACCGAAAATGAGTGAGACGTTAGATGGAGCCTTTATAAGAACGTGGACCTATACTGAAACATTTTTCTGCAAATGTGTTTTTCATTCTCCAAAAAAAAGGTATGGCAAATTATTTATGTTCTGTCCCAGTCAGTAAATTGTTAGATAACTGTTGGGCCATTTTTGGGGGGAACTTTCTTCGTACTTGACATAGGTGTTTTAAAAATAGGATAAATTAAAAGAATGAACGACCTAGACTTTGTAAAAAATCCATGTTTAAATCAATTTGGATATCCAATTCCCTTCGTATCTTTAGAAATTTTCAGTCTTTGGGTGTCAGAAATAGGAAAAATTTAAGGAATTGGAATGTTTGGGGTCAAATCGATTACTCCTAAATTTGTCTGAACCGCATTTGACTCAAATACATTTAGAGTCTATTACCAATATTACGATGAGACACATTTTTATTCGTATCAAAGTGTATCGAAATTGGGTGGCACTCAAAGAAAACAAAACTCGATTATTATTTTATTATTTTAATTACGCTATGCAAATTTACCTCATGGTATGAAGGTGGACTATACCTTATGGGAATAAAAGCCGTTGAAAACTATATTAAGAACTCAAAAGGACAAAGGAATATCCGAAATTACAGTCTTTCTCGTCTCTCCCTTGGTGAATATTTCTCCTTTCTCTCTAATATATCGAACTAATGTTCTTTAAAAAATCGAGGCCTCTTATGGTCCCGAAAAAAAGTTATTTAAATTACGAGAACCAGAAACACATTCTTTAAACAATCCAGGCCTCTTATAGTCCTGAAAAAAATCGTTAAATAATTCACGCCTTTCATAGTACCAGAAAAAAATTTTTGACTCAAGAAAAATATTCTTTAAAAAAATCCAGGCCTCGTATAAGCCCAGGAAAATATTCTTTAAATAATCCACGCTTCTCATAACCCAGAAAAAGTAGTCTTTAAAAAAATCCAGGCCTCTTATAGTCCTCCAAAAACATTCTTTAAATAATCCACGCATCTCATATTACCAGAAAAAATATTCTTTAAATACGCCTCTCACTACCACAGAAAAAAATATTTTTTAAATTATCCACGGCTCTCATAACCCCAGAAAAAAATATTAAGGTCTTCCCAAATATTCTTTAAAAAAAATCTGGCCCCTTATGGTCATCCATAAATATTCTTTTAAAAATCCAGGCCTCTTATAGTCCTCCAAAAATATTCTTAAATAATCTACGCCTCTAATAATCCCAGAAAAAATATTATTTAATAAATCCAGGCCTCTTATGGTTCGCCAAAAATATTAATTAAATATTGCACGCCTCTCATAATCCCAGAAAAAAATATTTTTTAAATAATCCACGCTTCTCATAACCCAGAAAAAAGTCTTTAACAAATCCACATCTCTCATAACCTCAGAAAAAATATTATTTTAAAAATTAACTCTTCTTATAACACCGAACATGTTCCTTAAACAATCCACAACTCTTATTAGTCATTGAAAAATATTTTTTTTAAAGTACTACGCCTTATAGAAAATAAAAGTAGAGAAATAGGAAAAAAATCCAAGTCTCTACAGCCCTTAAGAATATTATTTAGAAAATCACGCCCCTTAAAAAAATATTCTTTAAAATATCCATTTCTCCGATGACCCTAGAAAAATTTTTTTTCTTTAAACAATTCACGCCTCTGATAACCCTAAAAAATCTAAAAATCCTCTGATAACCCTAAAATATTATTTGTAAAAATAAAATCGTATTATAACGGTAGAAAAAATATAAAAAGCAATGCCTATCATAATCCCTGAAAAAATATTATTTAAAAAACCAAACCTTTTGCAGTCGTAGAAAAAAAAATGTTGTTTAAAAAATCTATTAATCAAGAAACGTACGTGTGTGGCATATTTCGGAGATACCCCTCAAGACAATACAAATAAATGCTAGAGAGTCTATCTGTCAGTCATTGTCATGTGTTACTAGATGGAGTTGTAGGCTTGAAATACTTATTCGCAGTGAAATATACGATATTATGTGAGTAGATTACGAATATCAGCAGTCTAGGTTTAAAAATTCAACACTATCCCATAAAACCCCCACGCATTTAAAAGTCAAAGCAAACATATTCTTTTAAAAAAATCACCCCTTTTACTGTCGTAGGAAACATATGTTCTAGAATAGATTCGAGATTTTTCCAAATTTTTTTCACTCAGTATAACTTTCTTGTGTAACGGATTTGACATCATAGCCACTGTTTTAAGTTTTAACTCTTCAAAGCAGAATTCCCCAAATACAAATATTAAACATTGTTCATCAAATAGTTTTAAATATGTTTACCTAGCTAAATACCTATTTGATTTCAGGACAGATTTTCCATAATTAGTTTTTCATATTTGCTTCCATTCATCCACACACACAAATTAAATCTGCACTGAACCCATCCCATCCTCAAGTAAATACAATTACAACACTATGTACATACGAACATTTCAAAAGTTTGAACTTACATTGGGCGATGTGGCCGAGGCCAACAATGGCAGCAGACCGCCGCAGGCAATTATCAAATTATCTGCCAATTGTGATATCAAATGGACGGTGTTCACAACGAATATGGCATTCTCACTGGAATTGACGAAATCCAGAACACTTTTGGTGGAATGTGAACGCCAGACTTGAATATCCGTTTCCAATGAGAACAGAACATCCGATAGTAAACGTTGATGTATGTAGGACCATTTGAATTCGGGTATGCGGAAGGGTGGTCGTGTTGGACCGGGACTAAACATGGGACGAGTTGAGCCGGATTTGGAACGTTGTTGCTGTTGCTGGGATTGTTGCTGCTGCTGTTGTTGTTGTTGTTGAGGATGTGTTGTCGGTTGTTGTTGTTGTTGCTGCTGTTGTTGTTGTTTGGCATTGTCTAAAATTGGGGAAGAAAAAACAAGTAGAGAGAAAGAAATGTGTTAGAGAACTCTCAGTTTAATTTGTGCAAATATTTACATTGTATCAAAAATTCTACAAAATTTTGTGTCGACATATGAGTTGATTCGTAAAACGCCATCAGGCATTGTTTAATGTGTCGTAAATTTCAGTTTAATTGCAAGTAAACAATGGTTTTATAGACTTAATTTAGCTGCTGCACACAATGCATACAATACAAACTTCCATTCACCTCCTCCCATTTCTGATGTTCCTTGTTTTTATCCTTGGGGGGTTTCCATATTTTCTCTTTTCTATTATCCAACCATTGAGATTTGTTTAATTGCAAGGATATATCAATGTAGGTGGTTGGTGGGAGTGGGTGTCTGGGAATGTATGTGTGTTTTGGGAATTTTCAACAAATATTAACACACCCACCCACCAAAAAATACCACAATGAAAACTATAAGAAATATTGTTCATGTAGTAGTTGTTGTGCTACCGCATTTGTAACTTTGCATTTAATGAGCATCAGGGAATTTGGTTTTGCCTTGATTTTTGGTCTCTTTGGGTTTTGAGAACAACCATTCGCACAGAAATGTATGTTGAGCTTACATTTTATGCATGATCTTTAGTTTTAACGAAGCGTTAACTGTGTGTGTGTTATATTTGAGGGAATACCCTCAAGGCACCGAAAGGAATGCTACAGAGTCTATCTATCTGTCATTGTCATGCGGTATATTTCATGCGTTACTAGATGGAGTTGTAGGTTCGATATGCTAATTGGCCGTGAACATAAGGGAAGAATGGGCCCTACAAAGAAATGCCCTGACAATATACGAAATAATATGAACATATTAAGAAAATGCCCAGTCTTGGATTTTTTTTTCATTTACTGGGAACCTATAACTGTTCAAAAAATGCTTTAAAAACTAAAAATAATTTGAAAACTCAAATTATAAAAAAAAAAACTTTAAAAAAAATTACAATAAAATACAGTCGAAATCATCAGGCCATATGGTACTTCCATATGGCCTGATGAAGAATTCGTATCCAACATCTAAACAAGGTACAAATGTAAAATGTAAAGTTTGGAATGCGAATTTTAGGGAACCCAAATGATAGGAAATCATAGTTCCTCATATTTCTGGAAAGACCAAATAATATAAATGCCGACACGACGGGGACTTACACAGAATATTTTATGATAGGAGGTTTTTACACATTGAGAAATATAAATATCAAATTACGGGCATTTAGGTTCGAATATGTGCCTAGACATAACCGTCATGAACATTATCTGCTAGAAGACATTTTAGCCTCGGCGTCTTTATATGGGCGTTTATTTAAATGGACCTTTTTTGTCGAAACAAGTCAACAATCAACCCTACGAGTCTTGGAAGATGAATCAAATGAAATGGAAATTGTTCGAGGAAGAAACACTTCGAAGAGGCAATTGATTGGGTGTTTCTTCGGCCATAGCACCATAGAACGAATTATTCGGAGGGATACACGCCAATTTGTTAACCAGAAATTTTGGGCACCATGTCGGGATGAAGTCCTTTATTTACTCGATGACGATGGGATTATCAAAATTACAAATAAAAAATTACAAATAAAATCTCTATAGAGATCGCACATACAAGTGGCGGATTGTGGTAAGCCCAGTAGGGGGATAATAAAAGGATAGTCTCGGAGGCAGTAATCATGGGTTTCTGTGCTCCTACCCTGAAGGATTATCATTGGTTCGATAGGATTTGAACGATGCTTGATACCTGGACACCTTAGTAAGTATTAGTTAGTTTTTTTTACTGAATTATGATTGGATTTCGAAATTTTTAAACCAAAATCCCCCAAAAATTGGACTGGAATATGTTTGATTGTCTTGGTGCTTTCAGTCTCTAAGCACACGTTCAACTCAAAGGACTTGGAGGGTGAATATTCAGTTTTGACATTACCCTCATTTAGAGGTCCAACCCATTTTTCAGTAATTTTAAGGTTTTAAGTGGACTTTACCCGCCATACCTGCAGAAAATCTTGGATTTAAGCCGGAGACATAGCCCCCATATAAATCCCAAACCCATTTTGTATGATTTGAAGTTTTTAACCGCATTTTCTAACCGATGAGGCAGCCATTCGAAATTCCGAATTCTTGGAGGGTGGCATAGATTCAGATATTTTTTAATATAGGTCCATATTGCCACATTACCCCAGCATTTCGGAATGTTTAGGGTTTTAGACGCATTTCCCCACCGAAGTGGTTAAAATTGTGCATAGTGAGTTCTTGGAGGGTAAAAAACCTCATTTACATAAAATATTCGATAAATGTCCATGTTTATATTTTCAAAACCGAACTGGGTGTAACTTCGCATTACTGGTTATTGCAGGGTGAAAGAAAGTTTGAAGAAATTGTGTGAAAGAGGCATTTTCGGTGTTTCGAAGGGTTTTAAGCGCAGTTCAACCGATTTCAATCTAGCTATCTATATAGGAATCGAAGCTACCGATGAGACATTATGTACCACATTACCGTTACCATGCTGTTGTTGCATTTCTAACTCTTCCCAACCACCAATGGTACGGATAGGACGGTGTGTCTCAAAGCAAGAATTTGATCTGTTCTCTGACGCTCATAATGTTCATACATTTGGGCAAATTGCAGATTTTGGAATGGACAATGGCCAAAGTACTCACCGACATTCTCCAACCAAATTATTCATATTTAATGGTATGATGGAGGAGCATACGGATTTATATGGGCCCTGGCAATTAATCTTTCCTGTCACACGGACAATTGTAACATTGGTTGGCGATAGCCCCAATATAAAGAACCCACAAAAATTTTTGTTTTCATTTCGGTTTCTCAAAGGATAAAAATCTTCTGACGAACAAATTAACAATAATATAGCCCACATATAAATGTCCCAACTGATTTTCGGAGTCTTGAATGCGAAACATATGCTTGATATTGAAATTAACTACTACTTTACTTCGCAAAATACTGTATTCACTTCCATTTTTTTTAATTTCTTACGTTCCGTAATGATAATTCTATAATTAAATCTTCAAAATTTGGTTTTTCAACTTACCGAAATGTTGATTTTCAACTTGAGTACCGGCACTTTGCTGATGATGACTTTCCTGAGCATCTTCAACAGTATCGCTGACCACATCCTCCGTTTGTTGAGTTTGTGTCTGCTGTTCATGTTGACTGACGCCACCGTCTTCATCTTCAATATATTCATCGTCTTCGATGCGTACATCGTCCAACTTCTCCTGCAATAATTGCTGTGATGTCACTGTAGCTTCTAAATCTTCAGCTGCTGATGTTTGAGTTTCTTCCTCAGTCTGTTCTACTAGAGAGATATCTTCCAAATGTAATTCTGCAACTTGTTCCGAAATTTCTTCAATAATTTCCGTTTCAGCTTCATTGGTGGCATTGTCAACAATGCTGGTGACAGTTTGTTCGACCAAATCATCGACGACAGTTTGAACAATGGCTTCAACGTTTTCTTTTTCGGGTATATCAGGTGTGGGAGTGGTTGAGGTTGTAGCTTCTTCCGAAGTTTTTGTTTCTGTTTTATTGGTTTCATCTACCACAGTTTGTACCACATCATTGATGATTTCTTGAGTCGTTTCATTTATGGATTCTTCGGTTTCCGTTTTGTTTTCAACACCATTGTTGTTGGTATCCTCATATCCGCCCTGTTCTTCTTCGACAGATTTCTCAATGACCTTGTCGATAAGTTCATCGACAATATCTTTGACGACAGAAGCCTCAGTTTTGGTTTCCTCAGCGGCTGTTTCTTCATTAATACTCAGCATAGGGGCATCATCCATCATAGAGGGACTTGAAATTGTGGTATCAGGACTAAGCGAAGATATCTCCTCCGAAGTTTCACCAGTTGTAATGGTCGTGGATAGCGAAGAGCTAACTTCTAATTCGGCTAAATCATTGGGTTTTACCGAGGCGATTTCCCCTTCTTTCTTTTCTTCAACGGCCTGCTGTTCGGATGCTACCTCAGTTGGTGTTGTTGCTGTTGTTTTTGTTTCTATGTCCGTTTTTAGTTCATTATTATTTAAAAGATTTTCTTGATTAGTTTCGGATTTTTGTTCAGTCTTTTTAGTTTCTTTTTCGTCATCGTCCTTATTGGCATTGTCTATGGTATTAGGTGTGTCGTCTTCCTTTTCGGGGGCCTCGACAGTTGCCTGGGCATTATTGTTATTGTTAACATTGTTGTTATCGGTAATTGTAGCTGGTGTTGGTGTGGTAGTTGTTGCCTCCGTCGTTTCGCTTACATTATTGTTCAGCAAATTCTTGGTATTGAGCAGTGATACTTTGTCCTCGACATTTTGTTCCTCTTCTTTCACTTTCTCTTCGTCTTCTCCTGCTTCTGCCTTTGTCGATGTTTCCATGGACGGTTCTTTGATTTGTTGTTTCTTTTCATTGTTCAAAACACCCTGCACAACTTCATTGACAGCCAATTCGATTTCCTCATCCTTAATAACCGATGAAGCCTCTTGCATTTCATCGGCCACAAGTTTACATTCTTGCAGGACCTTTTCGGAGTATTTCAAAACCTCTTGGACATGGGCTTCGGCATCTTCCTCGCTGGTTGCTGCCTTGGCATTTTCCAATTCCAATTCTTCTAAGTCATCAATGTTGAGGGTCTTCTTTAAGGCTTCAGGGCCACTGGCTGCCGTGGTGTTGGTTGTGGTGGCGGCTGTTTTGGCGGGTGTGTTATTTGCACTGGTATTTGTAGAGGTGGAGGAGGCATTACCATTACATTGGGTAGATGCGACCACCAAAACCTCAGATTTTATATGTTCATTATAGACATCACTTATGTTCGATATACTTGACTTAATGGCAGCTGCTGAATCGCTGGGTACCTCCTCCTTTGTCTGCTCCTCTTCCTGATCCACCCCTGTTGACTTTTCTTCACACACGGGGGCAGGGGTTGCAGCTTCTTCACTTGCACAAGCACACTTGGATTCTTCGACAGTTTCTTCAATCTCCTCATCGGGTTGTGTGGACTCCTCTTCCATATCCATTTCTTCCACTTCCTCTTCTACGGGTGGTACATCCTCCAAAGAGGCCACCGATGTGGCATTATGCACCACATTACCGCTACCATGTTGCTGTTGCATTTCTTCTCGCTCCCAACCACTAATGGTGCTAATAGGGCGGGCCTGCCTCAATGCAGGATCGGTTATCTGATCTGTTCTCTGGCGCTCATAATGTTCATACATTTGGGCAAATTGCAGTTTGAATTCTTCATATGACACCTTAGAATGGACAATGGCCAAAGTATCTACCCACACTCTCCAACCACCATATTCATATTTAATAGCATGATGCAGCAACATACGGAACAGTGAATATACCATATCGGATATTTTTTGTTCTTCGGTATTTTTCGGATGAATATAGGCCATGGCAATAAGCCATTCCTGCCACACAGACATTTGCAGAACTGTTCGGCGATTTTCCCGATTGCTATTACACAACAGTGTCATATCGGAGAGGAAGAGTTTCTTCACCTCGATAAGGGATTCGGTTTGTTTCGATTGCCGTATTAGCGTGGCAACAACTTTGAGCATCACTGGAAGGGAGGGAGAAAGAAAAATTTATATTAAAAAATACTAGTCCTGGAAAAAATATATTTTTTTAAAAATCTACGCCTCCTATAGTCCCCGAACAAATATTTTGTAAAAATCTACGCCTCTTTTAGTACTTGAAAAGATATTCCTTAAAAATCAACGCCTCTTTTAGTTCTTGAAAATATATTCCTTAGAAATATGCGCCTCTTTTAATACTTTAAAAGATATTTCTTAAAAATCTACGCCTCTTTTAGTACTTGAAAAGATATTCCTCAAAAATCTACGCCTCTTTTAGTACTTGAAAAGATATTCCTTAAAAAAACGCCTCTTTTAGTACTTGGAAAGATGTTCCTTAAAAAACCACGCATATTATAGCCCTTGAAAAAATATTCTTTAAAAAATCCACGCTTAAGAGTTCTTAAAACAATTTTAAAAAATCGTAGCTCGTCGATATATATAAAAGCCCTTCTTGACAAGAAAAATTTAATTGGTCTAATAATACCTTTAAAAGCCCACTCATATTTTTAAATTATTATATTATCTGGTCTTTGATTTTTACTTCTCTTTTTTATATAAAAAAGTGTTCTCCTCCATTTATTCTCCTTTTTCAATACTTACTTGGATTCTCTAAGCGATAGTGACTCTCCGGTTCCGGATGTCTATTGTACATAATATGCTGTGATATATGTTCGGTCATAATTTCATATAGCACATTATATGTTGGCATCGACAATGATTCCTCGTACAGAAGTAAACGTTCCGCTAATAATGTATATAAATTGTGTGGCGACATAACGTCATATTTTCGTCTGTAATGAAAAGAAATTGAAGAAAAGCGTTATAATCAAGCAAACAAAAGGAAGGAAGAAGTAAGAAATTGATGAAGAAAAATGTAGAAAAAATCGAAAAAATAAAAATTGATGTAGAGTCATATTTCATGGTGTTGTGTGGAAAATATGACCTGAGAGATATATTTGATTGGGGTGATGGAAAGTTTAAATAAAATCATGTCTTGCTTAGTACGCATACTTACTTGTATGTACTTCTCGATAAAAAGAATCCTAATAATTTCAGTGCTTGTAAGCGTATCAGCTGACTCTCAGCAGCCAATAATTTAAATATAGTTCTAACACCATGTTTAACATCAAAAGCAGGTACCATAGAGCTTGGATGCTCCGACATCAATGATATTAACATTTGTAAAACATCATGTAAATTTTCATCCTGATAAAAGAAATACAAAAAAAGTAGGAAATGATAAGGATTCATATTGTAAAAATCGATTAACAGTATAGTAACAGTATCATGGGTGTGAAGATTAAAAATCCTGATTTCATGTTAAGCTCACTGCGCGAAAATGATGAATGATAGGCGGATAAAATTGCATCACGAGCAGTACTTAAACTCTATATAGAGGTTACATTCCATGGCAATTTTCTTAACACCTTTAATTTAAGCCCTGTTTGATCGGCCATCTTGGACAATGTTTGTTCAGTGGGTTAAACACTTACTAACATAGCTCTGTAACCTTCCACTCTTTTAAATTTCAAATATATATTGTTCAATTTATCGTCACACCCATTTTATTATCTAAATTCATTTGAAATTGATGTTTCAACTTTTTCGGATTTTTATACATAGGATTTTTTGTGTTTCCTTTTACTTACCTCATGCATGGTTGTCAAATAATTTAAAATGCTTTGCAATTCATCTTCTTTGACACCTTGGCCTATCATAATCAATTGTTTTAGAAACAATAAAATATATGCACGTATAGCTAAAATATCTTTTTGGGCTGGACGTGGACCATCTGAAAGCAAAAAATTACAAACAAAATGTTAGAAGAACGAATTGAAATATAAAAAAAATTAATCAAAACCATTAAATTCAAAATAGGTTGATTTTTATAAAGAGAAAATGAAAAATTCAAGTATAGAGAACCCACAAGTTATAGATGGGGAACACATAAAAGTGTAACGGAAATATTTCCCATAGATTTGCGATGTTTAATAAGGATGCTAAGGACTTCAAAGTTTTAGTTATACCAGAATGATGACCACGATTTTTATTTATTGTAAATACGAAATTAATAAATGTCGGTGGAAAATTTTTGGAATATTAACATTCGAATAGAAGGGAGTAGTCAAATGATAAAAGGGAGTACCTTTACCGAATAGTAGAAATAAGTTTAAGTTTTTTTCACCTGAACCTGAACAATGAACTAATAGTTTAACTAATTCATTTGTGGACGACCCCTGCTCCAAGACGAAGTTTTGAAGGTCGTCTAAAAACGGCCGTTGTACGCGTACCCGACAGTTAAAAGTTTGGACCTTGTTAGACTACGCCAAGTGGAATGTTGCCAATATTCCCACATATCCAAAGATTTGAAAATATTCGGATTGGGATTTCTAGAAACCTTTGTATTTTTGGTTTATGGTGTCTTTGACAACAATGGAAAAAAATGGTACAAGCTCGGAATACGATCGGGTTAAAACTAAAATGTGTTTTCATATTTTTAAAACTGTTGACGTTTTCACTCATTTCTGGAAAATAAACGGAAAAAAAATTAGAGAAAAATATTGCTCACGTTTATATCATTAATATTGTCAAAGATATCATATACATACAATGTAAGGGTTTCGAGAAATCCTAATCCGCAGCAAACTTTCAAAACACCAATAAACGAGACTTCTATTTTTAGTCTCTCTTTTGGACTTTTCTGACAACTATTTTTTGTTTGCACCATGTATTTTAGGCCCTAGTAAGTTCGCGTTTGGGGATCTCTGTAGTTAAAGGACCTTTTGGAAGATACATTCAACGGGAGGTCCAATTGGCATTTCTGCAATTGGACCACCGGTTGAAAAACAAAGACCAATTAGACAATCCCGAAAATGTTTGAGTATTTTTGGAGCCCCGGTAAACATTTCCGTCTAAAGTTGAAATGGACCGTATATGTTAAAAGCCCTCATATATTTGGTATTTTGAGATTTTTTTTAACAAAACAATAGGCGATTTATTGGAGTATAAAAAATATATAAATACTAGCAAAGTGCCCGCTACTTCGTATGCGGAAAGGAAATACAAAACAATTTAATTTTAATATGGAAATCGTAAAAACTGTATACTTTGTTGTACTATAATTCCGATTTCCACCTCAATATCTGCATCTAATATCATGTATATTTCCATTTGGTATTTTTCATACTCATAAGTACGAATTTCTAAAACTACCTCAAATCTGCTTTCAAAGAGTAATCGCAGTTTCAAATTTAAGAAATCCAGCGCTATATGTTGACCAAAATCCAAATTTACATATTTGGTGCCGTTTTGTACTTTTCCAAAACTATCTCAATCCTACAATCCAACAGTAATCATAGTTACCACTTTAAGTTCTACCCGTTCACCAATGTCCAAATTGTACAAATTTATTACTTTTCGTGCCCATAGGTACAAATTTCCAAAACTACCTCAGTCATGCACCCCAATAATAATTTTAAGTCCACATTAAAGATTCCAGCTCTATTCGTTCACTAACATCCAAATTGTACCATATTTTGTACCATTACTTTTCTTAGACGTAAGTACGACTTTCCAAACATCCTCAATTTTACACCCCAATTTTAATCATAAATTTCAGGATCCCAGTCCTATCCGTTCAGACAGAAACAAATTGTATTATGGTTAGTACTATTCAGTACCCACAAGTACAAAAGTACCTACGCTCAAGCAGTTATCCAAATTCCAAATTTCAGGATTTCATCTTCAATCTTACACCACAGTCATTTTAATACCCCATTTGAAGACTCCAGCAGCTTTATCTGTTCACGTAAATCCAACTTGTACCAAATTTAGTACCATTTAGCATTTTTCGTACACACGAGCTACCACAATCCTGTACTCCAACAGCTCATATTTTTAAGATACCATCTTTATTCACTCAACTAAATACAAATAGTACCAAATTAAGTACAATTTAGTTATTTTTATACACATAAGTACGAATTTCTAAACCCATTTCCATACATCAACTTCCCAACCTGTATTCCATACAAAATTTCAAGATTATAGCTATAGATTTTCAATATATTAGTTTGGGGAAAAATAAATTCATCCGAGAAATGATCGAAGTTGACCGGCATATTAGCAGTCGCCCAGGAGCTAAAAATCTACCATAAAACTATTTTAAACCATTTACACAAGGATCCAAAAAGAAGCTCAGTGTTTGGGTGCCACACCAATTAACAGAATTAAATAGGATGGATCGAATTTCCATCTGCGAAGCCTTGGCCAAACGGAATGAGATAGATGACAGGAGAGGTGGTCAATTCTACTTGTTTTTTCAAATAGAGAGCACGACTTCTATGAGAGAGGCATTATGAAGTTATCCTTAAAATGGCAACAAATCATACAACAAAATGGTGAATATTTGGACAATCCGAAGCATGTTAAATAGAATCCTATAATTCATATAAAAATAATTGATTTCTTTTTCCTCAACAAATATAAAAGTACATTACAAATATAAGGCGAACTTAATAATATTTTTACTTCTTTTAAAAACTATACTTTTGGTAAAAAAAACACATTTCTGATAATTTTTAAATTTAGAGCAAATTTTGATTTGATTTCTATATATTGTGGATCTTCGTTTAATAGACAATTTAAGAATGAGGTCATCCATTGTTAGAGATTATAGTAAATTTTTATTTTATATACACTTTTTAATAAAATACAAGTTCAATTACTTACCCAATCCCTTTGGTACAATACCACTTTTAGCACGTGGATTCACAACCCAATAATAATATTTCAATGTATGCACCGTTTGGAGGACAGTGCTGACACGACGGACATTGCTGTAGATCTGTGTATCGCTTAGAAATTCGGTGGCCAGATATGAATATAAACGGGCCTGGACATTGGCCGGTGTATAAATCCATAAGGCTGGATTAAACAGGACATGGTCCAACAGCTGCCATGTCAGGAATGAAAAGCAAAACAGCTGCAATTCCAATCAAAAACCGTGGGAGAACAAAAAGAGAATAACAAAAATTAATTATTAAACATATTTCATAAAAATATTAAAATAAAGGTATAATAGAAACGTGTTTCAAAATCTCAATATATTACTCAAATCATATTATAAATATAACAAATTACAAAAAAGTTACAAATATTTTATATATATGTATATAACAATAATATTAAAAGGATATATATACGATTGTTAAATATTAAATATATACATACATGTTTATGCACAATGCAGTTGATTTTTTAGTTTATGATACATTCACATATCAAACAATTTAACGAAATAAAGGTAACAAATGAGAATTTGTTTCAAACTCGTTGCAATGTGGAACCGCAGCAGTATTTGATGGCGATTTATTGGTAGGAGGATTTTGTTTTTATATTTGAAAATCGTTTCATTTAGCAGCAGTTCACACATCATAACCACGAGCCATAGGATTGAGTTGTTGAGAGAGAGGGGGCGGGGGGAGATAAATGTTTTACAGGTTGCATTCCATCAAATAAAAGTAAAACAGCATGCACAGCAACAAAATTATACATTTTTCAAAATATAAATATTTTATCCATTCATCATTCGCAGAGTAGTTGTATATGTATATAGATGTATAAGGTATATCGTATATATCAGCGCATCAATTACAATCATGGCACAACAAAAACAACAAATCATATTGATGATTTTTATTTTTTTTTTCGTTTGAAATATGTAAAGAAATTAAAAGAAAATAAAAAATATAATTTAATAAAAAATCATATCATGAAAAATAGTTGTTATTTTTTATAGTAGCTATCTATATAATAAAATAGAATATTTTTTTAATTTAATAAAATGTTGTAGTTATAAAAACCATGTGTGAATATGGCAATAATGCATGACAATGATTTGATTAATTAAAATAGGAAAAAATCATCAGAATATTTTTTCATTAGTGTTGGTGTATGGCGTTTTTTTATTGTGGGTTTAGTATTTGAAGTGATAATAGAGTTATATATATGTGGGTGTAGTGTTTTTTGTTAATGGTGTTATATTTATAGTCTGAAATATTAGTGGAGTATTTGTTGAAAATTTCTCTTGTTTTAGAAAAATTTAATTCCATATTGATATAATTTTTGGGTGTGGTTTTAATATATATCAAATTAGAATCATATTAGAATTTGTGTTGATTCTTCTTACTGTAGGCGAGTTTTAAAAAAAAACGACGAATGATTTTTTGAGGACTGGACTTTAGCGTTACCGGAAAAAGTATTGGGAAATTGTATTCATAAAAAATAGTCCACGTTTGTTTTTTAGAATTTCAAATTTCTTTGATTTGATTCAACACGTCAATAACAAACATGTTCTTAAATTAAAAAAATGTGTAACAAATTAATGGTGTAGCAAAATAGAGTCATTTCTTACAATTAACAATTTTTAAACAGTCCTCAGCTACATGGGTTATTATTGGTGTTGAGTTTTTACGTAAAAAATCTTATAAACATAGCAATTTTGTATAAAGATCCTAGTTTCAGAAAAATCAATTTGAACTGGAAATTAAATAAGCCGTTGCACTCGCTTGGGCACAAAAGAAAGAAAACAAATAAAAATGCTGTTTAGTTCGCCGGGTCGAAGGAGTTATAACGTCCACAACTGGATATGTGTATGTATGTGCATAATTTTTCAATACTGTGAGGATAAATTAAAATACTCATCTAATCGCAATCAGATTGGCAAATTGGGACCTTGAATGTCCATTTGACGCGGGAGACTTGTAATGAGGACTATCAGAAACATGGACTGAAACTGTTTTGTATAGAAGTTGTTAACCCATCAAGGTTCTGCAATGCCAAAAACGCAACTACTTCGTAATGCGGAATACGTCAAGGATCATCAAAATATTCAAAAAAAAAAAAAACCGACTGACGATATTTATAATTTTTTGAAGGAAGTTTTGCCAAACAATGAGTACCAAAAAAAAAAAGTATCAATCGGTGTTGCCGACATATATACCCGGAATTACACACATGTAAAATTTACAAGTTTTTAAAATATTGATCCTTGATGGGGGGATGGATACAAGAAGGAGAGGACCGACGGGTCTCACCTTCGCACACGATCTAAACTTGATTTGGTTCGACTAAATTAGATACATTAAAATGTGACCCTTTGTGGGGGAGGTGCCAGAAGAAGAGGACCAATTAGTCCCATATTCAGACTTGATCAAATCTTGATAAAAAAAATTGGGGGAGGCACCAGAAGGAGTGGCTCAATGGGTCCCATCATCGGACTTGATCTAGGATTGGCAAAGATAATAGGTTGTGTAAAGTATGGTTCAAATCGGACAATTCATTCGACTGATATAGTATTTATAAATATGGACAATTTTGACCATTCGTTGGGGAAGTACCAGCAGGGGTAGAGCAATGGGTCGCATTTTCGAATTGCTTCGTAAAGATAATAGGTTGGTTTGCATCAAATCGGACATTTTATTCACATAATATTGAATTTATAAATATTGAAAATGTTGACAATTTGTGGTGGAGGTACCAGAAGGCGTGAAACAATGGGCCAATAATACGTTTTACAGAGTTTGGTTCACATTGGACACTACGATTGGCATGATATTACAAAATTAATTTTCGGCAAAATATTGAAAATTTTTGGGGGAGGTACTGGAAGAAGTGGACCATCTTCGAAGGTCGGTCACTCCCTTTGAGAGTTATCGTGCGCACCAGCCGGCCTGACAGGCGGACGGACATTTGTAAATCGACTCCAAATTTTCTGAAACGGATTTGGTCCAAAAAAACATGGACCAATATCTCTATGACATGACATGACACACTTTTCCCGTATCAAAGTGGATATACCATCAATAGCCATGAGAATGAGGACATATATATATATATATATATATAACTGCAGACAATTCGGTTGAAAACCTGACTACAATTCTAAACATACCGAATAATGCAGAGTCTAGGCTTACCCCGAAACATAGGCAAATTTTTTTGGTTCGGATATTTTTTATGCAATAAGAATCCAATATGTAATATTACAACCAATTTAGTCAAAACGGTAGCCCAAATCCCCAAAATTCCGATTTTTTTGGATTTGGTCTTACATGAAAATGCATCAGTATTGACAAACTGTTCGTAGGAGAATTTGCTCCCTACTTAGAATCCTAAATTCTCAATTCTGGTTAAAAGTCGTGCCTAAACTCCCCAAAATACTGAAATTTGGAAGAAACCGCTATTTGGGACTAACTTTAAATGGGGACCAATATCGATTTTTTTGGTACGAAAGTGCACAAGTGGACAAAATCCCTAAAATACGGAATTTTGGACTTACTGTTATATAGGAGTATACCAATATTCATATTTTTGTTATGAAGAACCCGATGAAAACCCAAAATATCCAAAGGGGCTGAAAACGTGATTAAAATACGTGAACCGATATATATCAAACATCCTAGAATATGCATTTGAAAGCTCTATGTTAAATATTGCGAGCTTCCGAACTTCTGGAATTTCTAGGGAATATTTCCAGGTATTGCAAACGGAATGACAAAAATGTTTATAAGATCGTAACAGATAATTATTTTCATGTACCTATGCGTGTGAAGCCTAAGCAAAAAAGCAATCAACCGTGTTGGTCTTCGAACATGGTCCAATTCAAACGCGTTTTTAGATGTTTCTTTGATAAAACAATCGATAGACGAGCTAAATTCAACGAAAGTTGTTTGTGAAAGAAGCTCTTCGAAGCAATTTTTGGCGATTGTTCCGTTGGGGTCACATTGTTTCTACAATTGGGTTGAGGGCCTGACAATGTTCATGAATTCTACATTGAAAATCAATAAAACCATTTTGGTGATAAATAGCGCAGATGTACAGTCTGGTCGATCATATGATATCCCACCTACATTTACAAATATCCCGTTTTCCCGTATATAATATGCAGTTTTTCATTTTGCTAAGTCTAGGCCCATTGTACCCGTAATATACTGTCTGGCAATTTTGTTATGTTTGGGTTCCAATTGCGTCCGGCAGAGCGATCAGGAAAAATGACAAAAATAATGTTTTGGCCAGTATTTTGGCTACAAATTATAATGGAAAGGCATTACCTAGTCTGAATCAGCTAGTTGAGATATAGCGATCGGTTTACTCATAGGTGGGTCTAGGACGACTATTTTGCTACGTTAGAAACTAGGATCACGTTGTGACAGATGTGAGGTATAGATAGAAAATATGGCTTCGCTTTAAAAAATCGAAATTAAAATCGGTAAGGCCTTTATATATCAGCAACGCTGGCTGCGATTTTAGTGATATAGGCCCACTTAGTATTTTTGTCCCATTTATAACATTCGGTTTTCATCATTTTTTTTGATATGGGAAATTTTTCTTAAGGTGACATGCATTTATGCAATTTCTATGATTTTGTGTCGCTTGTAGTCCATTACGTATATAAGATCGTTGATTTTTGTAAAATATCTTAAATTATTGTATATGTTCAACCTTTCCCAAAATACATCTCTGAACTCAATTTAATTAAAATTCGACATCTTTTCTTGTGACCTGTACAATAATTACTTCTCTGGTAGATATTCTCATAAGTTAATGGGATTTTTACATGCCTTTTTCGAACAAAAATGATTGCAATTGTAATTCTCTTCCGCATATTCACAACTCACATTTAAAGCAACTACACGGCGCGATAGCAAAAAAAAAAAAAATATAGCGGATTTCTTTAATTTTTTGTTGTCATGTTACACAATACGATACTGGACAACAGCGAATTAAAATGTCACTTGAATAATTGACAGAAGAATTAAAAAGCTGAATTTAAAATATTGAAAAAAAACTCAATAAATGGAAAAAATGAGAAAACAAATAAAAAAAATTGGCAAAAGAAGAAATGTATGCGAAATATCAAGTCAAATAAATATCATGGGAGTAGAGGGGAAAGGAAGGGGACAGATAAAAGGTTAAGCAAAGTAAAAACATGGGTATTCACAAGCAACTCAATATACAAAAAAATAATTGGCAAATGATTGAAAATAAAAGGAAGAAGAAAACGTTTTTACAGTTTATATAGCAACTTCTACATACGTACAGACAGACAGATAAATTGGTCAAATTTACATGGACATATATATTTGTTGGCATATTTGTAATATATAGTATTTTTTGATATATACGCTGGTTACACAACATTTACGGTAACAAAAATAAACACTAAAAATATACTTTAAATACTTGTACTACAATTTTAATTTTTTGTATCTCAAATATACTGATTTTCAAAAGCTATCTATAATTTACTTTTTACTTTAACAACAAATTTATTTTTTTTTACTCTACATTAATTTTGTTTTTATTTTTTTTATAAATAACGAAATTAAAATAGAAACATATTTTTTTGGTTATTAATTTTTTTGTTTTTTTGTTAAATAGATTTTCACCTGGTAGAACTGTATTTGTTTTATTGGGTTGTTGGTTTTAAAAATTTGTTTGGTATATTTTTGACAGTTACAGAAGTCGGCAGGTGTTTTGTTTTGTATTTTTGTGATTTTTTATTTTCGTTAAACGAAAAATATGAAAATTTATGTGGTCGTGATGGTTGTGGTGGTGTTGGTATTTGACAGGTTTCAATTTCATAGCATTCAATAAGAATTTTAGTAAGAGGAAGGAAAGTAGATAGCGATTCAGGTGGGTCATAGCAACAATTTCGTTATACAATTTAACAAAAATCGTTAGATCGAATAGAGGCCAGTATTGGGTTTGTTTTGGTTAAGTTAATGTATAAAGAAGAAGAGAGAAATGTAAAAAAATAGTGTAGACAAAAAATTAGTATAGAGGTATCTATATATAAAAAATTGTTATATATATTCCTTAAATATTTTCATCTAGAAAAACAAATATTTGAACAATGAAAATTGTCATCTCATCAACAACAGCAAATGAATGTACGATAAAGAATGAAATGCGAAATACACGACAAAAACAAATGCTTAATTAAAATGTTTAAAATAAGTATTTTTTAATGAAGCTTAACATAAATGTGCAAAACGTCACGAATGACATGCGAAAGTTATGTAAAAAATGAAATATAAATTGGGATAGGTTAGGTGTTTTTTTTATTTTTGTAGATTTTGTTAAAAGGGAACATCTGTGTGTATGGGTAAAGTCCATTTGGTTTGGTGGTACATTGTGACGCATGATTTGCTAACACAAATTCCCTAATTGTGGTACAGTGTGACGTATGATTTATAAAAATGAAATACCTTATAAACTGAAATTTCCTGATAAAAAAGAAACTATATTGAAAGAGTTTATAATTAAGTTGTTGGTTATAAGTAATTTTATACTACATTTTAAAATTTCAATGTGAATAAGTCAACTGGAAATTTCTCAGACTGGCGAATATATTTCTAGGAAAATTAAATCAGTTTCATTTTTGATTTGTTCAAACCCTAAATAAGACTCGGGTGTAAATTTAACATCTATCGAATTATCAGTCTAGGAATAATACTATTGTGAACAAAAAAACTGAATTAATTCCCTGTTGAAAAACATTTTTAATGAAGGGGACAAACACTTTTAAAGCAGAGCCACGAAGTCGATATACACATTAAAGACTCAAATGTAGATATTAGCGATGAAAATATTAAAGAGGAGCCTTTATCGAGGACATAATATCGATGTCGAAAACAAACAATTTTATCGACTTTTAATGACTTGGTGAAAAGGAAAGGTTTACATAATTTTGTTGTTGTTATAAGATTAAAGAAAATACCCTATTTTCGACAGTGGGCGTTAGCCGCTCACTGGGAATCTGAATCCAAAAACCGAGTAGATTTTTAGTTTTTGAGTAACATTGCCAAATAGAGCCAACATTTTTTTTACGAACAAAATTTTATAAGCCATTTAATTTTCTGCACTTGAATGATAGCATCTGAAAAAATCCATATTTACGAATATATTTGATGATTATACTACAAAATAGTTTCTACATAATAGCTCCCGATTATTTTAGGACTCAAGACGCATTTTCCAAATGCTAATCTAATTTTTCAATAGATATACACATTTTTTTCTTCGTCCAAAAAGTTCCGTTTGGCAAAAATGGATGGGTCATTCGACGGCAGCATTGACCTGGCACCAATCGACTTACACCAATAGCAAGTAAGCAAGTGCCAATCGGTACCAGAAGATGTAGACCAATGGGACTTGACTTGGTAAAAATAATAAGTTGTACAAAATTTGCATTAAACTGAATAATCCATTGGCCTGATGTTATAACATGAATTTTTAGCACAATTGTGACCACTTAGCGTGGGAGGTACAAGTAGGAATGGTCCGATATTCACCATATTCGAACTTGAACTAAGTTTGAAGGAAATATTATGATGCACAAACATTTGATGAAATCGGTTATACCCTATGAGAGTTATTGTGCGCACCAGCCGGCCAGACAGATGGAAGGACGTTAGAAAATCGACCCCAAATTGTCTGAAACGGATTGGGTCCAAGGAAACAGGGAGCCAAAAAACAATATTGCGATGAGGCACATTTTTGCCGTAGCTAAGTGTATATATCTCATTAGCCATAAGGCTGAGGGTATAAAAATTCCCCCTTTAAAGAGGATCCTTCCAAAAAAGAATCTCAAAAAATCAAAATTTATAACTAGGATTATCCTTTAGAACTTTGTTGTAAAAATGGTCCTTCAGAAAGAATCTCCAGAAAAGGATCGTAAAAAATCTAAAGAAACATGGAGTCTAACATCAATATTTCGGTGAGGCAAATGTTTACCCTATCGTAGTGTATATGCGCTCATTGGCCATAAGGCTGAGTGTATAAAAAAGGACGATCAAGAATTTTCGTTTCCAGAAAATTATGTCGAACCATTGAAACCCCTTACTTTGGAGGTGTCTTAATCAGAATAGAAAAAAATGTTTCGCCAATATGTTAGAGCTTATGAAAAATGGTATAACTTATGCTGGAGAATACATTGAAAAATAATAAAGCCATTATTGATCTGATTTGAATTTCTCAAAGGGGATTGGCGCTGGAAACTATCATTTGCCTCAACATTAGGTTTTCAAATTCGAAAACGAAGTGTATGAGTCCAAAAACAACTCGACTGTAACTCCAAATACAAAATAAAATTGTGGGTAAGAAAAGTCCTGGATATTTTGAAACCGATAATGGGTGGGTCCACTTAAAGTTTTTGCCATTTTTACTATATTTTAAATAATATGGTGGGCTGAATCGAATCAATTACATCTGAAAAAGTGTTTGAAATGATAAAATGCCTATGACGTATATGTTTTGTGGAAGATATATCAAAGCTTTAACCAATCTGTGGCGGACTATAATCATAACAAGTGGAAATTTCATTTTAATTTTACTGATTCCTAAACATATCGATTGATATAAATCATATGTCAACTAATTTACATACTATGGTTCGTATTTTAGATTACTTCCAACTAAAAACATATTCTCCTATATAAGTATTTTCCTATATATGTGTAACAGAGAAAATGATTTTGAAAATGAAATGCCAAGAGTATGAAGAAGTTTTCTGGGAAGAAAAATGTACGAGTATAATAACTCCTACGATTGAGATCATGATAAAATGTCGATGATGACATTATGAACTTGAATACATTTATCTATAGAAAAAATACATGTAGTTTTGTTTTTTGTTGTTGAATTGTTAGCAAAAATATGTATATAAAAATGTATTATATCAAAAAATCATCATTTACTCGTTTAAAGGGATATCGTAAGCCCAGGTTTAACTGTTGTGTTGTTTCGGTCGGTGTTGTTTTATTTTTATTGTAGTTGTAGTTGTGGAGGTGTTCATGTGTGTTTGTTTGGTTTTTGGTTATTTTGGTTAGAATTGCAAAAAAAGAAATTTAAATATTCGTAAAAAATCAACAAATAAATCAAAACACAAAAGAAAACAAAGAGGAAAAGACGAAAAAACAACAACAATAAGAATTTCAGTAAATTCTATATCACACACACACATCAATCAAATTGAAAATTTATTTTCTTATTTATTATATGAAAAGAATGAAAAAAGTATTTTTTCTGGTTAAATGTTAGTTAGTAAATAGAAGATAAAACATTGTCATGCATTAAAGGAATGATTTCAAATCATCATCATATTTTTTTCTTCTTAGATTTCTTTGTATAACAAATTAAAATGTAATTATTTCCATTATGGTATACTAAAGAAAACAAAACAACACACAGACACATGTATTGAAACATGCTTTTCATTTAAAAAATTTCTCTTTTTCGTTAAACAAAGAAAAAAACTAAATATTTATTTTAATTGAAAACTGATCGTTTATCACAATCAATTTAAATCAAGAAATTATGGAAACTAAAAAAATATTTTTTGTTGGTTTTAGAAAAGCCAATTAGAACAAATATGTTTTTCTTGGGTAATTGTTTTTGTCTACTATTTTTAACATTTATCTTACCTGTTTGAGCAATAAATCACTGTTGGCCGAGAGACATGTGACCAGGTATTTGGTTAGATTTAGGAATGATCCCAATACTTCGAGCGTCAGATGTTCCCGCGACGAACGTTGCAGCATAAATGATATAACTAAGAAACCACGATTTTGTATCATATGCTGCTGTACGGTTTGTGAGGTTTCAACAAGTTCACAAATGAAACCTAACAGTTTGGAACTGGAAAAAAGGAAGAAAACATAAACATTTGATTAAAATTCATAATAATTTACAATTAAAAAAAGTTGATGTCAATCTGACGAACACGAGGAGTTTGATGCCCAATTTACTTAAAATCGGCCGAAAATATATATGGAAGCTATATCCAAATATGAACCGATTTCAACGAAATTTCTCACAGGTTAGGTTATTCGTGCAAATCGAAATATATATGTGGACTTTGGTGTACCATTTACTTTAAATTTGACGAAAATATATAAGGGAGCTATATCTAAATCTGGACCGATTTTTCCCAATTTCAATAGGGTTCGTCCTTGGGCCAAACAAATGAGCTGTGCCAAATTTCATCTAAATCGGATTATAAACGCGACCTGTACTTTGTTTACAATTTAACACAAACAGACGGACGGACTTGCATAAATCGACTCAGAAAGTGATTCTATGCATATTCTCAAAAGGAACTATGGGTCTATCTCGTTTCCTTTTGCCTGTTACAAACATATGCACAAAGACATTATACCCAGTACCACAGTGTGGTAAAGGGTATAATAAATGTGCATTAGGACCAGTAGACGTATTATACATATTTTAGATATAATGTTCATACGCCCGCATACATTGTAATTAATATCAGTCATACGGCACAGGGGCCTGTAGTATTTGCAATAAGATGTCGGCATTAGAATTACATAAAAATTACTATCAAAATCAGGCTATACAATGTTTCACGTAAGCAAAATGATGACCAAATGCTCCATATCTGGCTCATAAATTTGATTTGAAAAATATTTTGTCGTACAAAGTGCAAAAGGACAAATTGTATAATAAAAATGGTATCCAGAAATATGGGAGACAGAGACTTTTCAATTGGTTTGCAGATACTATTCAATGCATAGAACTGGTGTTGCGAAATACAAATAGAGTAATAAATTTTGAAAAGAAGAAAACGGCATTAAGTTCTACTGGGCCGAAGTTGATATATCCATATTCGAGTGATATCGCATTTTTTTGTTTGGGAGAATCAAAGTTGTGTTACCTGTGCTAAAAGTATGGATCAGGATCTTAAATATAAGGCGGATATGATAAAAAATATATGTGAAACATGGACTTTTCTTTACAATTTATTTTCTTGAAATATTTTATACTCTGAAAAGCCGAAACTGCGACCTTTCATGTATCTAAGACCACCAGGATCTTTATACAGAAACGGCGTAAAACCTTGGGTATAGATTGAAGACTTTCTTCTAGAAATGTTTTCCTAAGATAAATTAAAATGCAGAACCATCAAACTTGCAATGATAAATTGGAATTTTAAAAGGAAGGCTCTGTCAAAATTTGAGCATCCGATATAAAAATGTTTTTAATAAATTTTGAAGTTGGCGTATTAATATTGACAACACGTATACGTCACACGACAACTATGAGTTAATGTATTAATATTAATGTATTCCTCGGGAAGAAAATCGTTTTAAAATTCCAATTCCATGTACAGTAAAATCTCTACAATCCGGACGTCGATAATCTTTATTATCCGGTAATCAGCACTGTACTTGACAACTTATTACGTATTTTGTAATACGGATTGTTTGACAGCATTTGACTCAAAAATCCGGATATTGATGATACATTTTTTTGTATAAGCCTTTTTTATTAAAATAATTGCATATTTTAGTGAAAGTTGTATTTATTGCATTTAAGGTTAGGATAAACCGAAGTCTATGTCAAAATATGGGCCTATATTCAACATTTCCTGCGAGGAGGTCATTTATATTTTGAGAATTTGAAATGCCAAGTGATATCTACTTTGGCTATAAAATGAGGTTCAGACCTTCGATATAACTGAACAGACGTATGTATAATATGTAAAGGCTCTTTATTAATATAGGGGTCTACCTAAGGGTACTACAGAATTATTTTGCTAAGCTGAAATCACAAAAATCTGAAATCACAATCTGGAACACATATCCCGAGAAGATTTCTGGTACTGATAAGCTTTTGTTCAAGAAAACAGTTAAAGCTGAACTTTCTCATAAGAAAAGTCTTCTACAAGAGTACAGACTTTTTATTCAAAACATTCCAAACAACCTTCTGAAAATTTTGCCTAAAATGAGACAGTTACCACGAATATTTAATATAAGTGGATCATGGATTTAAAAATATATATATTTTTAAGGCTCCCCCATAAAGGAGTACTCCCCGAATGGAGTATTCAATTATATCCATCGATTTCAGATCCTAATATTTTTACACGTCTACGATATATTTTTACAAATCCGAAAATAGTTTAAAAAGTTGTGCATGGGTTGTCAATTTAAATTTATTTTCAAGGTAACGTATAAGTATTGACAACATGTATACGCCACATGCCAACTACGATTTTTGAGCTGATGGGTAAATGAGAATATAATATAATTTGGTCAGCTAATTTATTCTTGCAATGGGACCAATTTTGGAGATCGTATGGATTTTTTGTTTTTTTTGAAAAAATCATATAGCCGACATACCAATTTAAATTTGTCATTAGGGTGGCGGATAAGTACTGAAAACACTTATACGCCACAGTTATGATGTTCTTGTATATACGTAATTTAAAATTACCTTTTAGTTACTTAATTGTTTCCTATGGGTTCTATCAACATATATTTAGTACAAACATCGACTTTATACAGGTTCAACCCCTCTGTTACCTCCGCCCAAATTGTAAAATTTCCTAACATTTAAAATGAATCGCCGATTCAATTATTTTTTTTCAGTTAACATAAATGACTGGCCAAAATGGGGAGTAGAATTGTTCGATTCCGACTACATTTGTAAAATTGTTCGATTCCGACAAAATACTTGAAAATCAATATTTTTAATTATACCCTTATGTCCACGATAACAATTTAAATAAAACCTCAATGTGGCGTATAAGTGTTGACAACACGTACACGTCATAATTATGATTTTTGTGGGGATATGTAATTATGAATGCAATTTTATTTATCCTGGTTGTTATATAGCTTCATCCCCTCTGGTATCTCTGCATAATTAATTTTTTCAGTTAACTTTAATAAAAAACAGACATGGAGCGTAAAATTTGTATATCTCGACTAAAAATTAATGCATTTTTTAAAACTTGGAGATCAATAGGCTTAATTTAATTTGAATAAATAATACAAATGATTATCACAGTTTCATTTATTACTCATACCCACATTCGCTCAATAATAATATTTCCATTGAACTTTTAAACTATAAAACCATTGGAAAAGTTTTCCATTGAATTCTTACATAACTTCTATATAAAAATAAGGGATAACCTTACCACAACAATAATAATACTACTACTAAAAAAAATAACAAAAACAACAACAACAGAAAGTATCATAACTTTATGATGACTCTTTAGCTAACCACCGGCACTAGAACGTCATCATTGTTATGAGTGGAGCGCACACAACATCTTCAAAGTTCTTCTTGATGATATTTTAGACAACTTCTTCTTCGTCGTCTTCTTGTTGAAGGCAAAGTTATACGAGACTTGAAGTTATTGTTGTTGTTGTTGCAGGGTGTGTCTCCTCACCCAAAGACACCGACCGATAGAATTTTTGAAAAACTTAAATACAAAACTTTTGTAGATAAAATATAAACTTACCATAACGTTGGATCACGTTTTATATCGCTAATACCCTCATGAGCCATATCCAATTGTGAGAAGAGTGGAAACAAAACTTGTATGCCACCAATTGAATTCAATGTACAGTGTATGGAATGTGTAACAACAGCCTTAACATCCTGGAAAAAGAGAGAAGAGCAGAAGAAAAACGAAAATTAGATAAATATAAAAAAAAACACACAAATGCAAAAATATGTAAAGAAATATTTAAAAGATTTGTCTTGAGATTTATTTAAATACTTTGTTTTGCTGTTGAAGTTACTTGGGGTAGTTTTTTTCGTTTTATTTCATTCTTTGTTTGACTTTGTAACCAAACAGTGCCTAGATGGTAGAGCTACACAGAGAGGCTTGCTTTTAAGTAGCTCCTTAGAGACTTAGCAGAATGAAATTCAAAAACAAAACAACGAAACAAAAAAATACATTTTCGGGGAATATGACAGACCACAAAAGTTAAAACTTAAGCCGAAAAAAACCCGGCATAGCAAACAATTTAACCTGAGGCGGAATGTGTCTCATTCCCCTTCCCCTTTGATGTTGTATTTCACCAGGGGTAGGGGTAATGCAATGACATAAATGTATCATCTACAAAAATTCTCCAGAGATTATAGTTCAAACAACAGCATCGAAGAGTAAAAGGGGGCGAAACCGGGAGAAATTTTGAAAACTTCAACTTGACTGTTGCCAAATTTAACTTCCGTAAAATTTCTTCGTTTCGTTTGCCGACTTTCGTAAGAGCATACAATTTTAATAATGCCTGTGCGCGCTCGATTGTTGTGTTTTGTGCCATGCGGTATGACTATAAAATAATGAAAAAAAAAAAACAACACAACAACAGTATAAAACTTTCGAGTTTCATGTCATGCAAATGAAATTCCTTAAGAAATATGTATGTAGGTATGCAAAACACGAAATAGTGTTGAAGAGCATTTCGGAATTGTAAAGACGGCTATAAAATACGTGAAATTTAACAACAGAAAAGTTCATTGAGAAATAAAGTTGCAACATCTTTTTTTTGTTATAGATCCGAGATAGAAAATGTTTTTTATTAATTTCCAAGGTGGCGTATAAATATTGACAACACGTATACGTCACATGGAGACTATGAGCTTTAGAGTAGAGTGTAGAGACAAATATGGAATTAATTTAATTCGTTGATAATATGTTTCCACACAAAGATTTGTGAAATTAGTATAACTAGAAAAAAATATGACGCTAAATGGGTACGCAAATAAATTAGAAAAATGTGAGTTATCAAGGAAGTTCTACAGAGCTATAAGAAATTTGTTTTTTTATGATTTTGTAAATGAAGAGACCTCATATCCACAGGTGGAATTTTTGGTAATTCATAAGAAGATTTTTTTCGAAAAATCGTCGTACGGAAGCTATTTTTAAATATCTTGGTTTGGTTTTTTTTTAAGTGATTATTTATACTCTTTCGAGTCTTGATGATCTAAATTTTGCAATAAAAAAGAAAACCAGGAGAAGAACCTACGTACCCACCATTATGCGACGCGTTTCGCCGTTGGTTAAGCGGCTCATCAGGCATATTGGGCAATGCGAAACTTGCATATGCGAATTAAATTCAAATTTGTCAAAGTTCGACATTTGTCTTCATTCTACTAACAGTCCTTTCCAAAGGAGATTTTTGTTGTAGCGATGGATTATTAATCCACACATCTACAATTGCTTCCATGGTATACACATGTTTTTGCGTAACCGTTTAGGAAGTGTGTTGATGGCTCAGAACGTTAAGTGGTCTGGGCAACATTTGTGTTGCTCCGAGGACCTACGTTCGAGACCTGGCCGTGCTCAGCTGAAATTAATTTTTGTTATTTGAATTTTGCCTTGTAAGTGATCATTTGGAAGTAATGTAAAGTGAATATTTATACTTTCGAGTCGAGCTTTGGAAGAACTTAAAGACAGAGATATCTATATTTACAAAATCTGAGATTAAGAAAAAAAGATTCCTATGAAATAATTTATGTGACTATCGTCTCGAGGAGACTAAAGCTAGGATTTTTTTTCTATGGCACCAATTGTTATAGTTATAATTTAAAATTTTTATATTTATATGAATTATTTTCTTCTTTTGCTACCTATAACTGAATATTATGCAGGACCATGGTGTCGAATTATTATTGACAATAATTACACGCCACGCATTTCTCAGACTTAAGAACATAATCCGATTTTCTATAAAGTAATAGCCTGTGGCCTTCTGGTATGATTTTTTTCTGACTCAAAAAAAAAAAAAAAATACTGAATGAATGAAGGATACTTGTTTGTTTTTTTCAGAATAATTTCTGGCATTCTGTTACAGAAGTCTTGACTACATTGTCCTGAAGTAATCACGGGTTCCGCCTGAGGTATAATAACGTCATCGAGTAGTCGTAATAAGTGGACCTATAAGAAGCTAACTTTATAGGAAGATCATTTTGAAGTCCTTCAGAATTAACGCTCAGGTATTCTATTAAAATAACATGTCTATAAAAGTCCTTTTGAACTTCTTCGTTAAAGGAATAATTTGGGACATTTTTGACATATTTTTAAGTAAGCTATTTAGCTCTTCTTTTTAACGAAACGTCCACTTTTATGAAAAAAAAAGAATTAAAAATTATTTGAACATGCTATGCTAGTGCTATGCTAGCGTATGACTAATGTCAAACTTATACACCACTGGTTATTTGCATAACATTTAACGCAAAGGATCAGCATTTCCCCTTACGAACATTATCCAATCATCTATAATATACTAATTTATGGTCTTCTTGCATGAAATTTTTCAAAATCGATGCATATGGCTATCTTCTATGTAGAACGACCAACTGGTTCTTTGTAATAAAGAACATATTTCACTTATGCGAGAAATTTTTTTTATTACAATAGAGAGATATTTATGGTTTATAAAAATATGCCGATCATCTTTATAAGGAATCTATTGGTAATTGCATGTGACGTATGATTACTGTCAACACTTATACGCCTCACTGATTTTTGTAGTTGCATGTGACGTATGACTACTGTCAACACTTATACGCATCAATGAACCTTTTTTTATGTTTATTAATAAACAAATATTTAACGTAATAATATTTTTAGTAATAATGTATTTCATACTTACTTGTAACATAAGTGCATGTGGTGTATGTACAAAATATGATACATTTCCTTTGGGTGCTGATTGTAAACATAGTTGGCCATCGGTTGCAACTGGATTATACATGAATACAATGGCATTCGATAGTTTGCCATCGTATAATACCTAAAGGGGTAAGGGAGAAAAAATAAAAGAAATTAGTAACAAAATAATAGCATTTTTTTAAGTTTTCATAATTTGTTCCTTCCTAATCGTAAACTGCCGTCTATATAAAGCTCACAAACTGGAATCTAATTAAATCGGAGGTAAAAACAAAGTATTTGGAACAAATGCAATATAACGACTAGCACCAATATTATGCTAACAAATAATTTTACATACAATATCAAGTTTTTCTTTTTAAATTTTTGTACTTTTATAATGTTTTAATAACTTTATAATTACATTTCTCTATAAATTTATATAATCAATTTGCAGTTTCCTTTTTTTGTTCTCAACGATTTTACAAATTCTTAATTTGTTGTCTACATTTATTTTAATTGGTCTCATTCTAAGTTATTTGATTGTACGATATAAAATTTGCATATTTAATTTTTTTCATTCTTCTTCTTTTGTTATTAAATACAAATCCTGCCACTAGCTTTAACCTACAACTAAGTCTATGCATTTTCTTTCGTAATTTTGTGATTTTCCATCTTAGTTAGTATAATAATGGCAGCCGCTTGAATGGTAGAAATCCCTTAAAGATCACAAAGCTTAAATAAGCTAGATAAAAATAAATCAAAAACGAAAAATGAATATAAACACACATACAGATAGGCACTCCATGTATATATGAGAGTGGAATTTAAGTTTATGACTCTGCATTATCTACATGAATACCTTGTGGTATTAGCATCAGAAGTGGTAGTACGTAGTAGGCGGTGGTAGTTGGCTGGATTGTTAGATTATGTGGTCATTATACACCTAGCTTGTGACTTTAGGTTGTGGGATTCCCAGTGAACACATGTTTAAGAATTTTTTAGTGATTTCAGTGGAATTTTTCGCTTGAAATACTTTGTAGATTTTTTAATAAATTTCAGATATTAAAATTAATTTTATTTTGACTTTTTTATTTTAATTTACAATGATTTTGAAACTACTAATAAATATCTTCCAAATTAACCTATTATACAGGTACATGGTGTCGTATTATTATGGACAATACTTATACGGCACATACACCTTGCATAAAAAGATCGATATTCAAGCCCTTTTTATAGAAAATAGCACATACACCTAGCATAAAAAAATCGATATTCAAGCCCTTTTTATAGAAAATGGTACAAGGTACGAGAATGTAAAATTGGAATCGAAAAATTGTCTTTAGAAGGGTTTGTTTAATCATGTTTTTTTAAGGATTCATAAATCAAATTTTCAGGACATTATTGAGTTCACTTCTGATGGAAGAAGAAGGAATTACCACAGCAGAGAAGCATGCAAAGTGCGGGTTTGTTTGCTGAATCCCTATCGTATTATATCGGAGGATGTTAAGAATAAAAAATCTTGATTTGTAATGTAAAATTTTAAACAAATTTTCCATAATAAAGGTCTAGTCTTCAAGAATGTTAATCGGTTTAAATCCCATATATCACTCTATTAACTAATCCTTCCTATCTTCTGCACAAAAATCTATCTATATAAGAACATCATGTTGTAATCCTAATAAGTGGACCAATAAGAATACCATTTTGAAGACTTCCAGAATGCATGCTCTGGTCTTGTACTAAAATGTCCGTAAGAGACCTTTTGACCTTCTTCGTTACAAGAATAACTTGGAACATTTTCCAACATCTTTCAAAGAAAGCCATTCAGCTCTTTTCCACATAAAAATTGTTCTGTATTTTATGAAATATTTATAAAAAATTTAAAGAATTGCAGAAAAGTCCTCATTTATTTAAAAAGGAAATAAAAATGATTTGAATACTTTAAAGTATATGACTAATGTCAGGACTTATACGCCATATATACATTTGTTTTTTTTTCTTTTTTTGCATACAAATTCTTGAAATAGAAGCAAAGGATCCAAGAATATGGCATTTACAAAATCGGAAAAAATTGACTGAACTGATTCGGTTGAATATATTTTGCCGACCACGGTAGATTCAAATCTAATTTAATATAGAGAACAAATAGTTGTCTATTGAATTCATACAAAATTCCGATTTTCTCCAATCTGACATTTTCTTAAGGGGGTAATAAATAAAAAGCATTATTTGGATATTGTAAAGTGCTCTGCTGGCGTATGATTAATGTCAATACTTATACGCCACATACAGCTCTGGTTATTTGCATAAAAAATTCTTAAAATGGACAAAATCGAAACTGATTTCTTCGCATATTTAGCCGACCACTAGATTCTAATATAATTTAGTATAGAGAATAGAATAGTTGTCTATGATAATTCTTATTTTCTTCAATCTTGCATCTGCTGAAATTTAGGTATTTTTTACGAAATTTTCAATTGGAATCCTTTGCAAGTTTCCCTTTCGATTTTTTGTTTAAATTCAACTTTAGCTTTGAATACACAATTTATTTGAGTTTGATTTTAACCGTAACATTGTATAACCCATTTTTGGCTCAATGTTAAATTGTTCACTGGGTTATTGCTTATATTTTATGTAGTGCCTGGAATTTAATAAATGTGTATATATGTGTGTGTGACTGCAACTGTGTGTATGGTGGCATAACGACATGTGAAACTATTTTATTTGCTTCTTCTCTATAAAATGGTGTGTATTTGAGAATGTGTTGGTGTATGCGTGTGTTCTATGTCCTTTGTGTGACATATATTGCACATAAAATGAAAATGTTGCTGCTACTATGGTAACAGTGGTAGTTAGCTGCTGGTTAGCTGGTTATTGTTTATACGGCTTGTAGAAATAAACAGAGGACAGTGGTTCAAATGTAAAACAACTTAATAGAAATAATTAAATAATTAAAAGTATGAAATCATAAAATAAATGTGTAAATCATTATATATATATATATATACCATCGAAATAACGATAGTCGAGGGACCGGCGAAATTGGTCGTTATAAGCGATATGTCTTTATAAACGATATCAACTAAAGGACATAACTTTTGATAAAGTCGTTTTAACCGATATATCGTTATAAACGGAATGTATATTGTAATAAATTAGACAATTGTACAAAGGTGATAACTTCAATACAGAATATCGATTCTTCTTTTTTAGCAAAATAGCCCAAGAAAACACCCCTATTATTTGCTTAATTTCAGGAGGATACATACATCAATATCATTATATATGCCCATGTGATAGCTCAGGATCATCTAACGTTACACATTCATAATTTTTATTTGGAAAACTATAATATTTTATCAAAATATTTAATTTCCAATATTTATTTTTTGGCTCTCCTTTCCTACCACTGTGCATTGAGTGCACACAAGCCGTAATAAAAATACATACTTAATATTGTTTTGGTATTCTTGTTTTTTAAATTGGAAAAAAAATATACGATAGAGAAGCCCATATTACATTTCAATAAAAATAATGAAATAAAAATACTATATGTACCTTCACAAAATGAAAACACACAAAAATAACGAAATCCATCGAATAAAATAATAAGGCAATTGTGTGCAATAAATTAAATGGAGCCAATTGGATGATACCTCTGTCATTATTGAAGTATAGATAAGGAACAAAATGTTCATTTGAATAAAAAAATTCAAAAAAATTTAATGACATTTAAAGAATGATGATATTCATTTGTTCCATAATTATTGTGGTTTTAAAATGTATATTTAAATTAGTACATACACATTTTTAATAATATAGAATAAGTTCAGGGAAATTTGATTCATATATTTCAATATCAGTAATAAATTCTGAAAATATAATTTCAAATTGATTTTCAAGATTTAAATTTTCCATGTTTCATATTTCTTCAGTGTAATTAATTGCTTCTTTCAAATTGATTTTGATTGTTTTTGATGCACTTTTTGTACATTTTAATTTACTTGAAAGCAATTTTTTGTTAACCACACACACAGATACACTTCAACCTATTGAATTGTTAACGGTCTACAATATAAAAATCAATTAACATATTAATTGGTTGAGGTAATTGAATGCTCTTTATATTAATTATATTTACAATAGTGTCATTGTACAAAGAGCGGGAGATTGAAAACAAAAAGAGTGGAGATTCTTTGTCATTTCTGATATTGACATTTTAATATTTAAAAGACATCGTATTTAAAATACAATTTAATAAGTCATGTCATATGTCGTTATTTCGATATTAAGTTCTGACTTCATTATTCGAGATAAAATATTACATTAGGGACCTATGCAACAAGATTTTGGAGATGAAAATTCTCTATGGGGATGAAATCCCTTGACCACACAGAGTTAGAGTTATGCCGTGATTAATTTGTCGCTGGTAATTCGATAGTGCGGCTATTGCAGGATATATCTGAGATTAAATATTTTCAGTATTTTTGTATGTTTCTTGATCGTCACTACTTTCTTGATAGTGGCTTATTTAAAAATAGCCTAGCTAACAATTTATTCCGATTTTTTTTTTTTTTTTTTTTTTTTTTTTTTTTTTTTTTGAATTATGAACGACATTCTGCGCAAGTTTCCGATTCTGATGCCGAAGAGGAAGAAAATTGTATGAAGGGCCCACGAATTCGGAAAGTTTGTCGTTTCTTTACGAATTCTAAAAAAAAAAAACAAAACTATTAAAAAAGGAATATTTTAACAATTTCGAACAAAAATCGAAAGTAACGTTCGATAATGGTCAGATAAAAGAAAGATTAATAAAAAATAAAAAGTTATTATATAACAGAGCTGTCGGTAAAAATTATTAGCTAGGAAGCCAAATATTAACCTCAAGATGAGGGAAACAATTTCAAATATAGCTGCTATCTTTAAATATCTTGACCAGTTGATATCCTGTGGTCTGTTGAAAACACGTTGAAGATCGAAATGTTTAAGATAGAGATTTCGAATATTGCATATACTCCTAGAATGTGTGGTATCTCTCCACATTGTGGTATAGCCCCCATATAACGTAGCCTCGCAATATTCGGTATTTTAGGAACGCTTGTCAACCGAAAACCCTGTAATGTGATATTATGGAATCTCATT